TGATGTTATTTTTCTATTTAATTAAGTTTTGATGAAAAATAAAAAATACACCATTACAGAATTCGAAAATACAATTTATATTCAATCAGTTTTGAGAAAAGAATTCTGAGAAAGACAACAAAGATATTTTACACCTTTTGAGAAAATCTTTTTCTCAACTGTCTTCTGTGCTTTCATTTTTAATCACACTTGTTCTTGGAGATTGACATTGTACAGGCTTCTACAATTTGTTGTCTTCATTGCCCAGGTGTGTGTTCTTATTTTTATTATTTTCATCCTTTGATTTGTTCAAAGGAGGTTTTCATCCCTGGTGTTATTCTAGGGAGGTGTTCATCCTTAGTAGGATTCTAAGGAGGTGTTTTCATCCTTTGATTTGTTCAAAGGAGGTGTTCATCCTTAGTGGAATTTTAGGGAGGTGTTCATCCTTAGTGGGTTTCTAAGGAGGTGATTGTCTTTTTAATTAGTTTACTTTTTACTGGTTCTTCTGCTGAGTTGATTGTAATTTGTAAACTGAATTTGAAAGATAGTGAATGGGAAGTCACTCTTGTGCTAAGTTTTTCATTTATTTTGCTAAATTCAGTTTACTTGTAATCTCCATTAGGTCACAAAGTTTTGTTTTAAGAAAAAGGGTTAAGATTTATAATTTCAATTTTTTTAAATTTCCTAGAATAATTTTATGAAAAATAAATTATTATTTCAAAAATATATTTAATTAATAAAATAAAATGCTAGCTAATAATTAATGAATAATATTTTTGAAATAAATAATTTAAATTATATATATATATATATATATATTAACTGTATATTAAATAATAGAAATATTATTTTTTATTTTTTATATTTTCTATGTTTAATTTGCAAGATTCAATTTATACAATTTTTTATTAGATTGATTTTGAAATTCAATCCAATTTATCTGGGTGAGATGGTGCTACGAGTACGTGAATTGTGGAAGGGAAATTTTAACATCATACCAAAATCATAATATCTTTAAAAATTATTATTTTTTCTTATAATATTTGCAACCAATGAAAAAATAAAGTAGACAAAACCAAGATTATTGAAGATGAAATCAAAATGAAGTGGGCCTGACACCTTTTTGGTCTTTCTTGGATCATTCACTCAGCCCAAAAATATATTATTGTGTTCAACTGTATCTCAGGCCCACCGAATTGTTCATGCTCCTAAAAATTATAAAATTTTCTATTATTTGTCACCTCTTTTTATTTATATAGTCTTTTTTCCTGAAATTATTTTTTTAGATACATCGTGCATGCTTGTAAGTTGCAACGGGCTTTCGTTGATCAAGTATTAACCAACATTAGTCTCAGCTAAGGAATAATTTAGCAACAAATAAGGTTTAAATAAACGCTTGATCACGAGTTTGGATCCTAAATAAAGTGGCTAATGTGAATCACCTGTTTCTGATTTCAAGAAAAATCTGAGGCAACTGCAATTTATTGAAAAATAAAATAACTCATAACTTTTGTAGTTCTTTTTAACTTGTATATAAGTTAATTTAAAGTTATAAAAAATATATTTTATTATTTTTCTTAACTTCTTTTAAATTTTCTTATCAAAAACTATCATTTCATGTAATCTCTTGGTCATACCATATCCCCACACTGATGGAAATTATACTTTGATTTTGCCTATAAAGACAAAAAGAGGATATGCATAGAAGATGATATGATATGTTATAGATTTAATTCTAATTTTAAATCCTCTATTTTAAAAAAAAAAAAATTAACAACCTGAATTCTTGATTTGTTCTTTTCAAATTTCACATCTTATTAGTCTTTAAAAACGAATGGTCCATTATTATTTTTTAATTTCTTACCACAAATTTGGTTTCAATTTTGACACAAAATAAGCTTTTAAAGTTTGAATTTATCCGTAGATTTTATTTTAAAAATTTATGTAAAAAATGTACAATTTTTTTTATATATAATTTCTCATATTTATAATAACTATAATAACTTAAATGTTATATGATGCACTAAATTATGTCTAAAGTAATTAAAAATTTTAAAAAGTATATTTAAAAACTAAAAAGGAAAGGACAAATAAGAAGCAGAGAGCTTGGAGGAAATCAGGTAGTGTTTGAATTTTCATAGAAATAAATAATTTATTTGTACTTGCAATTATGGATTATTGATGAATCTAAATTTATATACAATCCTAATTAATATACAGTTTAATACATGGACATAAATTTATTCTAGATGGAATAATGGATTAGGTTGAACTAATTTACGGAGAATCAATGTTAAAAATGTGTGACAAAACTTTTAATTTTAATTTATATTTTAACTTAAGTTGAGTTAAAGCTGATAGTAATTATCTAAGTTCATATGGATAATTTTTTCTCTTTTTGTAAGACTAACTTATATAAAAACATTAGTGCAGATTATTACAAGTAAAATAAAAAAAATGTTTATTTATTTAGAAAAGGTTAAGTAATAATTATTTTTATTATTACAAACACTTATTAAATCCATTAGTGGATTCTGGATAATAGAGACTAGATAATCTATTTAATATTGTGTTTTTAATATTACAAATCAAATTAATTTTAAATTTTATTTTCCTTATTATAAACCAATTCATTAATTTCAATATAAGAGTAATATATTCATACAATAAAATTATCTTTTTTCAATATCATATAAATTAATTATACATTTACATTAATACAATCATCGTCAATTAACACGTATATAATCACACAATCTAACTTTTTGAAACTTTAACCATGTGACTAAGTTATATTCACAATCCATATTTTATAATCTAGAGTATTATGAAATTTGAAGATTTAGTAACTTTCATTGTCTTCCAGTTTTAGTACTCTCAAATTTGAAAGCTATAAATCCTAAATTTCATAGGGAGTCAAATCCTATTCACAGAAAACCCCAATTAACAAATCAAACCTACTACAATATTCTTAAACTAGTCAAAATTCATTTGTATCACATCAATATCACATGCAAGACTTGAATGACCACATGCAAACCTTAGCCCAAAAGTTGTAAAAGTACTCTAAAATTGAAAAAACAAAAACTTACTCTATTTAAGATTCACATAAACTAAAAATGTCTCTCTCACCATTAGGAACAAAATGATGTACTTGGATATATAGAAAGTAAAAAATGGGTAAGAAAGTTTTAAAGAAAAATCAAATAATTTAGAGTTTAAAGTGATAATATTGGTTTTTTAGAAATAAAATTTGAAGCATAAAAATTTTTTATTTAAACTATTTTTATAGCAAAGATAAAAACTTCAATTTTAATTTATTTAATGATTGTTTCTCTTTAAACTACTAAAATTGTGGTCTTTATAATAAATATATGAATAAATTATATAATTATAATTATTAATATGATTATCTTATTATTAATATTATTTTTATTTTATATAATAATAATAATAATTTTTTCTGATATTATTATATATAATAGTAATTATAAATATATATAATAATAATCATAATTAAATTTATATTAATAATAATTGTTATTATTATTTAGATATATAATATTAAATTTATACTAATAATATAAAATTAAAATTATTATTATTTTATTATTAATAATAATAATAAAATGATATTAATAATGAATAATTTTTAATAAAATTATATTATTAAATAGTAATAATAATAATGATAAATATATATATATATATATATATATATAATAGATTTATAATTATTAATATAATTATCTTATTATTAATATTATTTTTAATTTATATAATTTATATCATTATTATTATTATTATTCTATTATTAGTAAAAATTACAATAATGTTAATAATATAATAATATTAATATCTTTATTAAAGTTTTATTATAATTATTATATTATTTAAATTTTATTATTAATAATAGAATAATATTAATGATAATAATATAATTATATAAAATAAAAATAATATTTATAATCAAATAATCATATTAATAATTATAATTCTATCATTTATTATTATTATTGTTATTATTTAAAATAGTATAATTTTATTAATAATTATTCATTATCAATATTATTTTATTATTATTGATACTTAAATAATAATTATTATAATTATAAATAATTTAATTGTTATTATTATTATTAATATAAAATGTATTATCATAATTATAATAATAATTATTATAATATAAAATTAAGATATATACTAGGACAAATTATATGACTGTAAATTTGAGAAAAAATTATATTATTTTAATAAAAAAACTTAATTATATAGTGTGATAAGATTGTTGTTTTTTATAATTATTTAAAAATATCTTACAGTAACTTTTATTTGGTTGACAATATATTTATTTATTCAATTATGTGATCGATTTTTTTATTCAAATTTATTTATTTATTATTAAACTTTTTATATAGTTTATAATTTTTGTTATAAATTTAATTTATTAAACTAATCTATTTATTTTAGATTAAACATAATTAGGAATAATTTATGGGAACAACTCTTTGATAATTTATTTTAACTGTGGCCAAAATTCTACAATAAAATATTGTTATTTGGCTAAATTGCATAACAAATGGAAATTTATGTTAGGTTTACTACTTTATTTATTTATTAGTGTTCGGTGATTATAACTTATTAGTGTTTAAGACAAGCAATGATAATTTTTCCGCTTATTTAATACGTAATTAAAGATATTGAAGTAAAAGTACAGACATAAAAAATAAGGCTAATAGTCAAATTATTTTTAAATTTCAAATAACTCAACTACATAATTAAAACACAGCTACATTTTTTCAAAATTTCATTAACTCACATTCTCAATTTCTTTCTCTTCCTCTTTCGTATATATACCCTGTTTCCTTTTCTTTTTTTTTTCTCTTTCATCTTCTCTAATCACTGATTTCTTTCACAATCAAATCCAAATCCAATCCCTGTTTTCTCCTCTCGCATTCCGAACCCAACACCGTCCTGCGATCCGCAATTCGCTTTCGCCTCCCTCTTTCCGTTCACCGGCCATGGATTATCGGGAACCGCATCAGCAACCAACCGCCAAAATCATGGTGGGACCCACCTCCTTCCCTTCCATGTTGGCACCCGCCACTGCCCAATTTCCCGAGTCCTCAAAAAGAAGAAGAGAGTCCGGCCCAGAAAGTACTCACCAGATGGCAACATTGCGTTGGGCCTTGTCCCCAACCACGCCGCGGCTTCTTCCGCCGAGCCTGCCCCAAGAAGCACCGAGGACGCCCCTGGCTCCTGCAAGAAGCAGATGGACGCCCTTGGTATCTATCTATCAATCTATTTCGCTATTTCATCCCTTTTTTTTTTTTTTTTCCTTGTTCAGAATCACTGGAACTGGTTTCACTCCCCATGTTATTTCCGCCGAAGCTGGGGAGGTATGCACTTCTAGGATCACTCACTCGCTTATCAAAATCACAATGACAATTATTATATTAACAACACATATAGGGTATTGTTGGGTACTACTTCTGTTGTAAATTATTCTCACCCATTAATTCAATGTCTCTTTGTTCTTAGGACATTGCTGCAAAAGTTATGCTCTTCTGTGAGCAAGGACCACGGACAGTATGCATTCTTTCTGCTACTGGTCCTATCCGCAATGTCACCGTTAGACAGTCGCAACTCAGGTGACAGCTCTTCAGATAGCTCATTGTTCGATGATTTGCTATCCATATAACTTTCTCTTGCGTCCTTGTTTCAGGCACAATATCTAAATTCAGAATTTTATTAAAGATAACTACAAGCATAAGTAACTCGAGAGAGAGCTATAAGCAACTCGATACTCGAGACAGTGAGTTACATATAAGCAACTCACAAGACAACTATAACCGTAACCAATTCATAACAATTGGCATAATTGAAATTCAAACACGTAACAAAATAAACTTAGAGTTTAGACACCCTGTAATTCTATCAGATTTTGACTTCGGGAGATTTAGCATAGGAGATTGAAATCAACTCAGACCTAAATTTGTTGTCCCAATGACCATTTGGTTTTTCAAAGCCATCTGCGTCCTTGCCTATATTTGAGTCCTTGCCTATATTTGACTCCAGAATTTTATCAGGTAAAGAATCAAACTATTCAAATGACTTATTGTTCAATGATTTGCTATCCATATAACTTTTTGTCGCATCCTTGCCTTCAGACACAATATCTGAATCCAGAATTTTATCAGGTAAAGAATCAGAGATAACTATAAACAACTCACGTGATAACTCCTTAAATACTCCTTAAATGACTTATTGTTCGGTGATTTGTTATCTATATAACTTTCTGTTGCATACTTGCCTTCTTTTACCATTACAATCCTTTAAATAAGGTTTTAAATTGTGGTTGTGGGCAATTCTGGTTAAAAGGGCCACTTTTGAGGTTGTGATGAAATTTCAGTTAGCCCCAAATCATTGACATTGCAATGGGGAATGTTTTTCAAAACCATGTCAACCGTTTAGAAGTTTTGTTATTCTATATTGATTGGAAATGATCATGAAATACTATATATCTGTTTGGTGTGCTTGTGTGTATATTAAGAGTACTTTGTTGAGCAGAATTTGAACACACCTATTATCTTCCGGTTCCTGTGGTTAAAATTTTTTATTTTTCAAAACAGAGTATGAATGAGGTTCGAAACACAACATCTATGAAAAACATTCACCTGGGGTTCTGAATGCTATATTTTTCATTTCTTTCCTTTTTACGTCTCGAATTTGTTATTTAATTTCATCTTTTTCTTTTTCTTTTTCCTTTAATTTCATGTGCTATATTTTTGTGGGATTGTGCAATTTTGAATCTATCACCATAACTATTTAGGGTAGATCTACTTTAATAATTATTATGGAAAGAAATATCAACTGAATTTTGCATACAGTTAGATTTATTTAAATTTTTCCACACAATCCAATTCAACTCTGTGATTGTACATATGCAAAATTTATAACCCAATTGAGGGCTATCTGTTTTATGAAAGGAGTATATTCTGCAATGGTTTCCTTTAATGTTTTAAAATACCTAATTTGATCTGAAAAAACATGCTCTGAAAAATTATATTTCTATTGTTGTGGATGGAACTGAATGGTATAATAACATGCTATAGCTCAATAGGGATTCTTTGTCTACTGTCGAATCTATTGGAACCAAATGATCCATCTGCTGTATCATTGACTTATCTCTTCACTGAAAACAATAAAGAAGTTTAACAGGCCATACAAATGAATCAAAGTTTCTCTGTCTGCATCTTCTAGAATAATATAATCTTTTAGGCTTTGAAGAACAGTAAATATATAGCTATGTATGTCATCCACTTACTGGTAGCTGCAGAGTCAGCTGGAAATCTAGGATGTGGAGTTTGGTAGGAATAAATATGGGTTATCAAGTTATAAATGTAGTGTATTGGGCCAAAGTAACCGTTGGAATTGAATTAATTTGGGAGATGGTGAAGATGGGTTAAGTACATTTTTGGACTAAAGTTTTCAGTCCTCACCTCTTGGTTGTAAGAATTACTAATTTATCTTTAGTGCTCTATAATCATAGTCCTGTCTTGGTAGGTTATTGACCTTCCTTAAATCCAAATTCTACTTTGGAGCACGGAAGAAGAGCTGACATTTTGCACTAGTTTATGACTTGAAGCTAATAAATCTACGAAGCATGGTCTCTTTTATTGAACAGTGAGCATGGTATCTTTTTATTGAAATCTTTTATTGAACAGTGAGCATAGTATCCTTTATTGAACAATGATATAAATTTCTGTATTTCATAATTATCATGTTAAAAATGACAATGTGAAGTTTGTATAATTTTATACTATGTACAAAAGTGTTCAGATTGCGTCTTTCCTATGAAATAAAAAGAATATTTCTCACAATCATTTATATTTTATAATATGAAAAGAATGTTGCTGTTCTTAGCCTTAACCAACCCTCATTTCTTGTTTCCTTTATATTTCATGCCTTTATTTGCTTTGTTATTGGTGTGACTCTGTCACTGACCCAATTCTCCTTGGTAGTTCTTTATAAACGTTTTATTTTTGCCGCATGTATCCTTGTTGCATAACTGTTCAATGTGTTGGGGGTTGATCATATTAGAGGAATGACCCTGAAAGTGATATCTGAACGATGGATTTACTTACAATATACTGCTGTAGTAATTTTTCATGTGGCTCTGCTGGAAATATTTCACAAAAAATGGTGATATGGAAGTGACCAAATGTCATTTAACATTGCTAATATTATTTTTCATTTATATGTTCTGTCTTAATTTCAGTCGATACCATGTTTCAATTCTTTTTGCTCATCTAATGATTTGCTAATTTAATCATTTTCCTTTACTATATGAATGTATTTTAATACTTATTTAGCATATGATTGGTGTGTGAGAGTGAGATCAAGAGATATAAAAAACTGGGGTTACGGGGCAGGCACCACACAAAGACACGAAATACATGCAAGGATTGCAATCCCCTTATTAGTGTCACTGACCAACAAAAAAAAGAAAAGTGATTGTAATTAAGTGAGCATGAAACATACGTCACTATGTTGGAAATATACTATTATTGTATGATCTCTCAACAAATTTTGACTCTTATATAGATAGTAAATCACCAATAAAATTCTGGATTCAGATATTGTGTCTGAAGCAGAAAATCACAAAAATTATATGGATAGTAAATCACCGAGTAATAACTCATCTAAGAAGCTGTCACATGAGTTGCTTATAGCTATCTTTGATTCTTTATCTGATAAAATTCTGATAAAATTCTGGATTCAAATATTGTGTCTGAAGGCAAGGACGCAATAGAAAGTTATATGGATAACAAATCACTGAGTAATAAGTAATAAGTAATCTGAATAGCTGTCACGTGAGTTGTTTATAATTATCTTTGATTCTTTACCGATAAAATTCTGAATTCAGATATAAACAAGGACGCAATTGTCTTTGAAAGACCAAATGGTGATTGGGACGAGATTTCAATATCTTATGTTAAATCTCCCAATGTCAAAATTTGATAAAATTACAGGGTCTAGACTCTAAGTTTAGAATATATGCTACACTTTTTGTTTTGTTATGTGTTTGAATTTCAATTGTGCCAATGGATATGAATGGGTTACGGTTATAGCTGTCTCGTGAGATGTGTTGATGAGCTGTGTTCTTTCAGACCATGCATTTGTGGCAATTACTTCCTCTATTTCATATTACTTTTCTTTTTAAAGTAATACTTATTTCTTTAAAAGAAATTATTACACAGAATTAAAATAACAAAACAGTTATCGGTAGAAAAAAAACATTTTTATTGAAGAAATTAGAATGCAGACACAGTGAAGTGTCGGTGACAAGAGAATAGCAGGGAAGGAAAAATGAAAAGAAACAGTTCTATTGCATATTAAAAAACTGTTCATAAGACAATAAGATGATAAACACATGAATAACAGTCAGTGCCACATATAACTGCATGACCCAATTCAAACTTCAATGACTAGCATCTTCCTCCTCACAAAATTTTGTGTATTCCTTTGGACCCAATAAGGACTCTAATTCAGAAGGATCACTTGGCTTTACTTTGATCATCCATCCATCTTCATATGGGCTTGAGTTGACCTTAATTTAAGTGGGAAAAGTAGAAAAATAAGTATGAGAATGTGTAACCTGCTAATTAGAACATCAAAATAGACAGCATGAACATACCATTAAGAGTAAAAAGTACATGCACAGATTGTATAAAGGGGTTTATTCAGCACGTATAAAAATGTTGCTAATTTTCTTACAGTACAAAAACTGTGTTAAACATTATACTTAACATAGTTTCTTATCAAATGACAGTGTAAAACTTGTTACACTAACTGTGCATAGTAACTAATAAGTAACAAAATCTTGCCGTTTTTTTAACTTCTGGTTTCTGTAACAAAATCCTCCTTAGAGAAAATAATATAAAGAAATTGGGTTAAAGGTTAGAATTGATCACCAGGCCTGGCGTTTCTGTGAGCTTTTTGTTAACCTCAACAATCTCCCCTGAAATTGGAGAGTTTATATCACTTGTTGCTTTGACACTTTCAACAGCTCCAAAGCCTGAATTCTTGGAAACTGCACGACCTGATTCTGGCAGCTCCACATACACAACCTCTCCAAGATGGTCCTGCAATTATTAGACAGCTTCAGCCTTCACTTAAGTTGTAGTTACATTTTAATTCAACATACATAATACACGTAAACCCTTGTAAAGAATAAAGTTGTCTACCCACTAAACATAGGAGTAAACAGGAATTTATCGGTTGCACTGTCCTACGAACTTGATGTTTACATAAGGACAAGCAACCCAAAAGCAAATAACTTTTATAGCTATACTGGTCAGAAAGTAGCGAAAAAACGATAAACGCAGTTACATGAACTACACAGAGTGAGTTAAGGAACAAATTTTCAGTTGAAAAGAGGTGCAAGCAACCAACCTGGGCATGGTCAGTGATACCAATGGTGGCGACTGAGCCTTCATGCTTGACCCATTCGTGTGATTCTGCGTACTTAAGTCCATCCAAGACTATGAAAGAAGCAAAAAGACGTTATGAAATGAACTGAATTAGGGGTCTACTTGCAGATTCAAATTGATAAAAAAGATTAAGGTGAAATAATGTGAAGATGATATTTGATATAGAGAAATAGATAGTGAGTAAATACCAGTAGATAAGCATCTGGAGAAAGAAAAAGGAGGATGGAGATGGGGTCTGGAGGCAGAAGAGAGTTTGAGTGCATTGGCAGTGGAAGAAGCCCACATCCTGAGTGCCATTAGAGACAGAAATTGAGGTTGTGGTGTTGTCTCTGTTTGGTTGTGTTATGTTATGTTGTAGGGATAATAATATGACTGAAACAGTGAGACGAAGGTGTTTGATATATTATCTTGGATGAATGGTGGGAAGCGAAAGCCTCATCCTCTTTATGTTCTGCCTTTTCTTATATTATCCATCGACCACTCTCCTTCTACAACTTTCAACCTTCAAATTAAATCAAACATAACACATCTTCCTATCACTCTATTCTATAATCATTGTTACTATTATACACCTAATGGATTAAAATCAATTCTTTTTTTTCTTTCCTTTCTGAAACCTGATTAAATAACACAGATTCATTTTTTGGTTACCATCTTCTTTCCAGATTCTCACGCTCCTCCACACAAATATTATAATGTTTGTCGGTGAATTGAGATGTAGATTTAAAATTTCGCTTACTCTGTGACACGCAAAACCAAATGGAACTCATTCTTCAAAATTCACTGTGTTACTCCAGGATAGGCTATGCATGGGTTAGGTTGCTTCTAATTTAATTAAATTCATCATTTAATCTACTAAAAAAAATTCAATTTACTTGTAATCTCCATTAGGTCACAAAGTTTTGTTTTTAAAAAACTATGTTAGGATTTATAATTTCAATTTTTTTAGATTTCCTAGAATAATTTAATGAAAAAATAAATCATTATTTCAAAAATATATTTAATTAATAAAATAAAATGCTAGTTAATAATTAATGAATAATATTTTTGAAATAAATAATTTTAATAATACATAGATTATATTAACTCTTAATCTTAGCTTGCACTTTATAATATATTAAATAATAGAAATATTAATTTTTATTTTTATATTTTCTATGTTTAATTTGCAAGATTCAATTTATAAAAATTTTGTTTAGATTGATTTTGAAATTCAATCCAATTTATCTGGATGAGATGGTGCTACGAGTACGTGAACTGTGGAAGGGAAATTTTAACATCATACCAAAATCATAATATCTTTAGAATTTTTTTTTTCTTATAATATTTGCAACCAATGAAAAAATAAAGTTGACAAAACCAAGATTATTGAAGATGAAATCAAAAGTGAAGTGGGCCTGACACCTTTTTGGTCCTTCTTGGATCATTCACTTAGCCCAAAAATATATTATTGTGCTCAACTGTATCTCAGGCCCACCGAATTGTTCATGCTCCTAAAAATTATAAAATTTTCTATTATTTGTCACCTCTTTTTATTTATATAGTCTTTTTTCCTGAAATTATTTTTTTAGATACATCGTGCATGCTTGTAAGTTGCAACGGGCTTTCGTTGATCAAGTATTAACCAACATTAGTCTCAGCTAAGGAATAATTTAGCAACAAATAAGGTTTAAATAAACGCTTGATCACGAGTTTGGATCCTAAATAAAGTGGCTAATGTGAATCACCTGTTTCTGATTTCAAGAAAAATCTGAGGCAACTGCAATTTATTGAAAAATAAAATAACTCATAACTTTTTTAGTTCTTTTTAACTTGTATATAAGTTAATTTAAAGTTATAAAAAATATATTTTATTATTTTTCTTAACTTCTTTTAAATTTTCTTATAAAAAAACTATCATTTCATGTAATATCTTGGTCATACCATATATCCACACTGATGGAAATTATATTTTGATTTTGCCTATAAAGACAAAAAGAGGATATGCATAGAAGATGATATGATATGATATGTTATATAGATTTAATTCTAATTTTAAATCCTCTATTTTAAAAAAATAAAAATGCATGTCCTGAATTCTTGATTTGTTCTTTTCAAATTTCACATCTCATTAGTCTTTAAAAACAATGGTCCGTAAATCTTTTTCAATTTCTTATCACAAATTTCGTTTCAATTTTGACACAAAATAAGCTTTTGAAGTTTGAAGTTGTCCGTACATTTTATTTTAAAAAATTAAATACAAAATATACAATGTTTTTTTTTATATATAATTTCTCATATTTATAATAACTCTATTTACTTTTAGTATAATAACTCAAAAGTTATACTTGTGAGCACTAAATTATGTCCAAAGTAATTAGAACATTTTAAAAAAAAATATTTAAAAACTAAAAAGGAAAGGACAAATAAGAAGCAGAGAGCTTGGAGGAAATCAGGTAGTGTTTGAATTTTCATAGAATTAAATAATTTATTTGTACTTGCAATTATGGATTATTGATGAATCTAAATTTATAAACAATCCTACTTAATATACAGTTTAATACATGGACATAAATTTATTCTAGATGGAATAATTGTTTAGGTTGAACTAATTTACGGAGAATCAATGTTAAAAATGTGTGACAAAACTTTTAATTTTAATTTATATTTTAACTTAAAAATATTTTTAGTTGAGGTAAAGATGATAATAATTATCCTAGTCCCATATGGATAATTTTGTTCTCTCTTTATAAGACTAGCTTATATAAAAACATTAGCACAGATTATTACATGATAAAATAAAATAAAAATAATGTTTACTGATTTAAAAAAAGTTAAGTAATAATTATTTTTATTATCACAAAAATTTATTAAGATAGTTTCTCTAGTAAAAAGTAGACTATGTGTGAAATAATAAATTAATATTTTTATTTATTTTAATATTTGAAAATTAATTTGTAAAACATTAAAAAAAAAAGTTTGCCACTAAATAATTCATAACAACCTAACGTAACATCTTCATGTGCAAATTACTCATTCATCTATAGAGAAAAATATTAAAATCACAATTATTTTATAGGAATACACTAAAAATTAATGAAGGAGAAAAGTGCCGACAAGGATGACGTCAAAGTGGAATGGTGGACCTAAGTTTCAGCAACTCTGTCAAGGGTCGTTGACCAACTGATACATGTCTTGGACCCACCTCTGCAAAATAAATTTCACTACTCACATCTTTTTTTTATTTCTGCATTAATTTTAAATCTTAAAACCAATATAAATTATAAATATCATATAATTTTTATGTTAAAAAATATTTTAATGATTTGTTAATATTGACAAATATTTGGTGATAATTTTATTATTAATTTAATTGATCAAAATAATTATTTTATTTATTAAATCAAAATTATATGAAATAGTTGACATCGTTATCCACCACGAGTTTATACATCCATTTAGAAAATGATTCGAATGTTGTAACGTGTCACTTAACGGTGTCCTGAACCATTGTGTCCAGATCCAAGTGGAAAGGGCAGGTGCCCGAATAGAAATCAGACGCGGACCATAAAAGTTATTAAAATATAAAATAATAGAGTATGACTAATTCTGAAGAAATAATAAAAAGAAAAAACATAAATATAATATGCATAGTGTGGGCACTGTGGGAAGATAGGAACACAATTTTTCAACAGAAGATGACATATGATACGATATTTGGTATCGCGTTGACATATGCTCTCTCCCAACTTTCTTTCCACTAAACTCGGATTTAGAAATTTGCCCTTTGCCGTTGAATTAATATTTTTTTAATTTGTCTCTGTAAATTTGCCCTTTGCCGTTGAATTAATATATATTTTTTAATTTGTCTTTATAGATATTGTCATCAAAACTACGATAATATATTATGATTATATCAACATGACGAAGTGATTTTTTTTTATGAATCTTTAATTTCATAAGTATATCAAATTTTTAAAGATAATCTATCTCAATGTAAATTTTTAAGTGAAATTATTAAAAATATGATTATAATTCATTCACTTGCTATTATTTGGATGTATATTTATAAATTTCTATTTGTATTATAAAATATAAGTTTAATGTCTTCCACGTATAAATTATAATTTTTTGTAACATTCTTGCTAGGAGTTACCAGAAGATAATTTGATTTGTATGATAATTCACTGCGATTTTAATTATGAAAAAATTATTTTGATAAATTAAAATAATTCACATACTAGTACAGTTTTTGTTTGAATAATAAATTAAAATAAAAAAGGTAAAAGTTCACAACAGTCGCGTGACTTTGAAGTTCGTCGTCCTTTAGCTCCATGCGTCTGTCCAACCAACAAACTCTTTGACTTGCAGAGACGGGAAAGAGACAGATTTTCATTTTATATCACTACTAAATTTAACTATTAATTTTTTTATATATTAAAACAGTACAAAATCATTTTTTTTAAATTAAGTGTTTATAGTAAAATAGAACTAATAAATGTTTTTAAAAGGGAAAAAATATTTAATTGGATAAAATATGTTTTTGTGACAAACTTATTGACATGTTAGTTGTGTTGTGAGTGAATCTAAATTTTCACCTTTTTCCCCCTCTCTCTCTCTCTGAATCTTGGTTACAAAAGGAGGAGGTAAAGTAGTAAAATAAGATGAGACTTTAGAATTTGAGGAGAGGCATTGAAGTAGAATCTCTAATTAAAACTTCAAAAAGTACCATTCTATGATTCATAATTAGTAATTTCTCCCAATCAAGATTACACATGCAACTAAAGTGTGCTAAATGTTCAAGCACAAATACATTGCTCTTATCCTTTTCTTAGATTCAAGAGTGTTACTATTCATCAAACCATTATTCTTCGATACTTTTTGTTTATAACATAAAATATTTTCTATTTTTTAAAAATACTTTTTCTTTATAGATTTCGATTAAAAATATTACTATTTATTAATTATTTTAGTGATGATTAAAAACATAAAAATACAAATGAATGAAAAATAAAATTCAAATGAATTAATGGTACAATTTACTACTCCTGTTTGAAGCTTGATCAGTGTCTTCTGTTTTATGCAATATTGCACACTTTAATCTGCTCTGACACTCCTAACAAATGTCAATGGAGAAATACTTGTTTCAAAACAAAGTTTCATTCTGTCTTCTTAAACCGTTTATGTCCACTGAATAAAACAGAAAAAAAAAAATGCAAAAATCATATTTACTTATTTTAATTTATGCAAAACGTAAATTGAAAATTTATATCAATTAAGAAAATAATACTTGGGTGACAAATCAGTCTTTATCTCTTCCTCTCTCCCTCAAAGCAAACGTAAAAGTGAAGGAAGTATTTTAATGTTGTGGGATTGGAAAAGTTTAAGAACATGATAAATAATTAATAATGCAATTAATGTTTATAGTTAATATAATGAAGATATAATTAATAACAGTAATAGCAATAAATATTAGTATAAATGTATTTATGAAGAGTGAGGTGTGGGAGAAGCGTTTCAAAAATAGAAAAATTGGAAGAAGAGGAATTGTGGAGATGCCAGCTCACATAACCGTCGAACTCGGACAGTGCCAACAAGGAGCACACAACACAACAAATGTTTTGATTTAAAAAAAAAAAAAAAAAACGCAAAGATATATATAATAATAAAACATGAATAGTTATTTAAGTGTGGTGTATTATTTTGGTGTTTGGGAGAGAGAGAGAGTGAGTAGTTTCTTTTCTATTCTTTTCTTTTTCTTTTTCTCTACTTTGTTTTGTTTTGGTTTGCCTTGCTGCTTCTGACCTTACTTACCTTGTCTCTCTCTTGTTCTTTCTTGCTTCCTTTTCAAATTTTATTTTGGCTGAGAGAGAAGGTGAATTGCTGAGTAGAAGTTGGGTGGGGTTTGGTTGGGGGGAACTCAAATGTGATGGGAAGCAATGGACTCTGCAATCTCTTTTCTTGCTTCAAAGCCTCTTCCAATCACGACCATGGCCATGGCCATAACCATAACCATAACCATAACCATAACCAGAGCCAGTTGGTTTTCGCCGAGACCGAGCCATTGGATGAAACCCTAGGCCACTCTTTCTGCTATGTTAGATCCTCCGCGCGCTTTCTCTCTCCCTCCCATTCCGATCGCATCCTATCTCCTTCCAACTCTCTCCGCTTCTCCCCCTCTCACCGCTCCGATTTCCCCGAAACCGCATTCAAAGCCATTTCAGGTGCCTCCGTCAGCGCCAACAGCTCCGTCCCAAAAACTGTCCTCCAGTCCGACGACGACGACACCACTCTCAATGGCTTCAAAGGAACCGCGTCCTTCAGCGCTCTGCCTCTCCAGCCCGCGCCCAGAGGAGGAGAAGCTGTTCACTCTGAGAGAGAGCGGAAGGCGTTCTTCCTCTCTGGGCCAATTGAGAGCGGCGCGCTCTCAGGACCCCTCGACGACGCCGTTTCGAGCTCCGCTGGAGTGCCTTTCTCTGCTCCGCTCGGGGGTGGAGTGTTTGTGAAGAAGAAGAGGAAAAAGAGCATTTCCGGGTTGAGGAAAGCCTTCCAGAGGAGTCTCTCGGAGAAGAAACGGCCGTGGGTGGTGCCGGTGGGGCGGAAGGGGAAGACGGAGGCGAAGAGCGAGACGGAGAGCGAGAGCAATGTGCAGTGGGCGCTGGGAAAAGCAGGGGAGGATCGTGTGCATGTGGTTGTATCGGAAGAACAGGGTTGGTTGTTCGTCGGGATATACGACGGTTTCAATGGCCCTGATGCGCCGGAATTTCTCATGGGTAATCTTTACCGTGCCCTCCACAAAGAGCTCCAGGGTTTGTTTTGGGAACTTGACGAACCGCAGCCGCAGGTGCAGGGAACTAACCCTGCACCTGAGGTGGTGGATAGTGAAGCTGAACCCCGGAATGAGGGGGAGGTGGAAGAAGACTCTAATTCCCTCCGAGGATCGGTTAAGAGAGTGACGTTTCAAGCGGAGGGGACTGAGAGTAGGAGGAGAAGGTTGTGGGAATTTCTGGCTGAGGAGGATGACGCTGAGGACGGTCTTGACCTTTCCGGGTCTGATAGGTTTGCGTTTTCGGTTGATGATGCGCTCAGTGCTAGCAAGGAGGGTTCGGGAGGTAGTAAACGGTGGTTGATTTTGTCCAAGTTGAAGCATGGGTTGTCGAGGCATAAGGAGGGTCATGGGAGGAGGTTGTTGCCGTGGAGTTTGGGCGTGGGGGAAGAGGAGAAGAAGGTTGAGGTGGAAAATCCAATTGCGGCAGAGGAGAAGGAGGAGAAGGGTAACGGTGGGAGGAAGCGGAAAGTGGGGCCTGTGGATCATGAGTTAGTTTTGAGAGCGTTGTCTAGGGCGCTTGAGATGACTGAGCTTGCGTATTTGGATATGACGGATAAGTTGATTGATACCAACCCGGAGCTTGCTCTAATGGGGTCGTGTCTGTTGGTTGTGTTGATGAGGGATGAGGATGTTTATGTTATGAACGTGGGGGATAGCCGCGCCATTGTGGCACATTATGAGTGTGAGGAGGTTCATGCTCCTAGCAAGGAAACTGGAAGTGGTGGAGATATTGGGTCAAGCGCGGAGTGCATAGTGGAGGAGTCGTTGGCTCCGGAAGAAGGTGGTGTCGTTTTGAGGAGTGAGGGTCCTGCTCAGGAAAGGAGGTTGGTTGCATTGCAGCTGTCCACTGACCACAGCACCAGCATTGAAGAGGCAAGTTTGTAATTGGGTCACATTCCCTGTGTGCATTCAGATAGTCTCATTTCAATACTTCTTGTCTTGTTTTTGTCTATACTTATTCATCCTTCTTTTGAGGATATATTTTCTACATTCTAACACCCAAGTGAAAGGTTTCATGCTTAATTATAAGGCTTCAGTGTCCTTCAATTGTTATGTATTTCCTTTGGTAGCTTTCTGGAATTTCGAACTTCTATTGATCTATTGTTAATGATGCTGCATTTTCCCTTGAAGTGTTACTACTCCTCTCCCCTTGAGTGATGTGTGTGCTTGTCTTTGCATATCCCAAAGACCAGGGATGAGATTGTCTCTTTCAGATTTTCAGCATTCTGTTTTTTATCAAGTGGCGTTTAGTTTTTCACTTTGTAGATTTCATTGATGGGTCATGTGAGTGTTATATTGAATTTCGATTTTTGGCTTCATGCTTATTTGCAGTGTCCTTCTTAATTATAGAAGTTCTGTCACTATTACTCTTAATTTCCTTTTCCTTCAGTAATTTTCTGATCGGCTCGTATTGCTTATCTGAAACTGAAGCTTAATGTTTTGCAGGAAGTTGTTAGAATTAAGAATGAGCATCCTGATGATAGCCAATGTATTGTAAATGATAGAGTGAAAGGCCGTCTTAAGGTTACTAGAGCTTTTGGTGCTGGATTTTTGAAACAGGTGAGGTGCCTCTTAATTTTAAAACACTTTCTTGTAATAATATCTCATATTACTGTTTATTGAGAAGATGAATGACTTTGATATTCAATATTGTTTAATAGGAGCATTGATTGTCATTTTAGGCACTGCATAATCTATTTATGACATATTCCTCTTGTTTATCATCCCATTCTCATTCACACAGCAAATGGAATCCTACTTTGTTTTATCGTTCCTCTTGTTCGAAGATTGCAATTCATAGACTTCTTAAATATTATAAGAAAATGTATGTTGACTTGATAATTTTCATGTTTCTGCAGCCAAAGTGGAATGATGTGGTGCTAGAAATGTTTCGTAATGTGTATATTGGCACTGCTCCATATATATCCTGCTCCCCTTCATTACGTCACCATAGATTATGCCCTAGAGATCAGTTCTTGATCCTCTCATCTGATGGGTTGTATCAATACCTAAGCAATCAAGAAGTGGTTTCTCAGGTCGAAAGCTTCATGGAAAAGTTTCCAGATGGAGATCCTGCCCAGCATTTAATAGAGGAGCTGCTCCTACGTGCTGCCAAAAAGGCTGGTAAAATAATCTTCTTCTCACATGAATCTTCTTACATATTTGCATATGGTCATGAGAACATGTTCAATTTGTTTTACGATATAAATGGAGGAAATGACTATTAATTAAATTTGAATTGATACCTCATTTATATAATTAGTAAAAGCATTTGTCTTCTCCCAATTTTTGTTCAAAAAAGTCCTACATTAAAACTTGACTAAATTGTAATTTTGGTCTCCTTTTAATTTCTACTCTATGATATTGGTTGGATGCCCTTTTTCTCCCATGATTTTAGTCCCAAGAAGATATTAGAAGATTTGCTACTTTGGTTTATTTCTCAATTTTGCACACGTGTTTTTTTTGGGTCCAATTGAATCTTAGATCTAATATTTATCTAAGGTACCATAAAGAAATAATTGAATTAATTAAAATTAGAAATAAATTAACATATGCAAAATTGAATATTGGATCAAAATTGTGGAATTTTTTTTTTTATAATTTAGGGATTAAAAAATTGCAGAAGAAAATTAAGAGGACCAAAATTAAAGATCAAGAATTAAAAGCGGACTGAAATAGCAATTTAGGCAAACTTATTTATTGGTTGATTTGGTGACCTAAACTATATTTTATGGCCAAAACCAGCCATTACATCTGTGATGTGTGACTTTTCCTTCTGACATCGAGGATATATTTATTTTAACTGGATTTTGCTTGAAGAACAAAGTAATGGATATTTGAAGTTGTTGACACAAGTTGCAGATGATAATTTGGGAAACTTGAATGAAATGTATCCCCCTACCTATATCTCAAGCATGGGATTTAATGAATGGTTTTCTTTTGTCTTCAACTGCTGCTCCACATCCTGCTCCACATCCTGTTTGTAGCCCTTTTCTTTTTGAAAACTTTGTATCAATAATGTATTGCCCTAGATAGTATTGTGTTATTCTTTATTGGGTGATGCTATGACACTATGCATAACATCTTGACTTTCTGGGCCACTGCTTTAATTGTTTGTGAGCACTGAGCAGCCACTTTACAATTTTTTTATCTTTACAAGTTATCTGACTTTACAAATTCACATTTTTATTTTATATCTATATTATCCCTCTTATGGACGATCTTGGAGGGTTGGCTTGTCTAGGTGCATAAGATTGGTTGAGAAAACTTATTTCTTATGTGCTAGATTTGAGCTAGAGGGCAGCTTTCATTTTACAACCCCAGCATGCATTATTAATGTAATATTCGAATTAACTTAATGCTCAAATGTTTGGACTTGTCAACTGCTGTGTATGACAAGATTTAGAGTGGTGATTTTAAACTCAAATGTTGCAGGAATGGATTTCCATGAGTTGCTGGATATCCCTCAAGGTGATCGGAGGAAGTATCATGATGATGTAACTGTTATGGTGATATCACTTGAAGGAAGAATCTGGAAATCGTCTGGGAAGTATGTGTGAAACCTTGCTCAACTCCCAGTTAGCTGTATACATGTGATCATATTTGAGAGTGCCTCTAAGCCCGTGTCTAAATTTCAAAGGTTGACCCATTTTTCAATCTTCATTCTGGTCTTACAACATAAGTTGTGAATAGAAGAATCTTATTCGTGTTAATGGCAAGAGGCCGCCGGTAGAGCTGTATTCAGAATTGGGAGATGCAAAATGCAATTAAAATGAGCTTGGGAAGTCTCTTCAGCAGAAAGACACAATGTAAAGCCTTTTTTTTTTTAACTGTTTTTCTTTTTTGTTCCGTCGTTGCAGTCTATTTCTTCTCCCATCTATTATCCAGGTTTATAGAGATGAAAAATCATAGAAATTTTGAGTAGCGGAGGCCCTTTCCATTATTTTTTTTTTTTTCTTTTTGCTCCTTTTCTCTCTCTGGTTCGAGCCAAGAGATGTGGGTGTATATTGGTGGGGATACAAATGTACTGACTGAACTTAGAGCAGTCACTAGTCAGAGAAGAAACTATGTAATTGAAGGTGGATTTCAACCATTGCGGATTAACATGATTCTGAATTACAGATCTCAATCTCATCAATGCATTTAAGTTGGAATGAAAAATTTCATGGCCAATCCTTTTTTACTATGTGAAAAGAAATACGGAAGATGGAAATAGAGAAAAATAATTTTAGAAAAGAAAAATGTGTAAAAAATAAAATGGAATGTTTTATTTATTTGATTAATTAAGTAGAAAATCTAAGAATTAGATAAAAAGTGTTTTGAAAATTGTGTAATTTAATTTATTAGATAGACCATAAAGAGAGATAAATAAAAATAGATTACAAATAATACAAACAAATTTACTATTTTTAAAAATTGTTTTTTTCTCGTATTCTTTCTTAATTAAAGAGATAAAATTAATTCTCTTTTCTTCCTCTTTACCAAAGAAACCATAAATGAACAAAAGATACTGATTAGTACTCATTTTCCTGTGATTGATTTAGTAATAGTGTAGTGACGCCGGAGTTCTGTTCGAATCTCTATTATACTTTCTTCAGTTTTTGTGTTAAAGAATTTGAATTTTCAAGGAACGTGTTACAGTACAATTGACCAGATGGAACGGATTTAAAGGTAACCTTAATAAATAAATAAAATTAATACCAATAAAATTAACAAATTTAATTTTTTATTATAAAAATATAGTTTTCACATGTCAAAAGGTTTAAATTTTATTTAAAGTCTTCAAAACATTCATATTTAAGTCAAGAAAAAAACAGGAAGATAGATAGATAGATAGGTGGTATACATTGTAAAAATGTTTTATAACATACCAAAGGGGAGAAATAACCAATAAAAAATTCTAGAACATTTTCTTACTGCCTGCTGTGTTTACTAGATCCTTATTTTTTTGCAAATCATAAATGACATTTTTCGACCAAGCATATATTCTAGTAGTCATCATGGATGTGCTAATAATAACTACAACTTAAATAAGCGAAATTGTTAGATTTCATTAACGCTATGAACTCCGTCTAATGTTTTGATTCGAGTTGTTGGAACCTAATAGGCTTTGCAGAACTGATTCTTTCGGTTTTGTTGTTTGAGGCGGGAAAATGGTCTTTGATGCTGGGTTACATCAAATAAGGCGGTAGGAATTATAAAATGGATAAGATCTCTTAGGTCAATTCGTCAGTAATATAGCCAAGGTTGGTATTTTCACTCTGCCAACGCGTTCTAGTTCACCCCGTCACACTCTGCCGACCCGTTCTACTTCACCGTCAAGTCCGTTAACCTGTCAGGTTTACCGTTAACCTGTCAGACTTACTCGGAAGATGGATGATACCGCCAGAGTCCGCTAATTAATAAAAATATAATTTTTTATTATAATATACTTAATCATAAAAATAATATATAAAATTAAAATTATAAAAAAATAAAATAATTTCATTCTCACTTATTATAATATTTTCTTTACTCAAACAAATTCTCTCACCTCTTTTTTTTCCGATGTTATAACATGAATTAAAAATGTAAATATTATTTAAAGAAAGAATAATTTAAAATTTTATCAAATAAAAACAATATAAATATTTAATTTTTTTAATATAAAAAATATAAATTTTACATATTTTAATATTATTTATATATATTTATTATTATTTTTAATTATAATTTTTAAAATAATATATTAATTTATATTATTAACTTCAATAAAAAAAAATATATATATATATATATATATTAAATTATTGACAAATAAATAATAATTTTATTATTAAATTTATTAAAAATTTTAATTTAATTTTTTTAAAATTATAACGGATATGTCCATCAATCTCTCGACTCATTCTTTGATAAGACAAATTAAGATCTCCATTCTATTATTACTATAATAGGTCATCCATCCCGTTTTTACTATTTTTGACATGTGAGAATAATGAATTGACCTATTTTATTATCCCAGACCGAGGGGGACAAAAAAGGGTGGATTTGCAAAATCAGAGGCCATAAGAACAAACCATGAATATTGAGATCTATTTGCACCTAAGTATTTGAGTAAAAGAGAAAGGTTAGCAAGATACTTATTAACATTCTTCTTGTGACATTGTTAAATATCTTGATCCCACTCATTTGGTGGTTTAATGTTCAAACTAAGGACATTCATTGCAATCTTAACCCAAAAAAGCATATTGCTGAAAAGCAAAACGTTGGAATATATGACCATCATTCCTTGACATAAAGCCATGGATAGCTAGCTGAATGCAATCCTGTGCAAAGAATAGCGTATTAGCAACCCCATCTTTGCAGTTGAAAACAGTAACAGCAGTATGGTATTGGACGAATCAGATTCATCGTCCAAATTCTGAGTACGCTGGTTGGCTAGAATCTGATTTACCTCAATTTCGGGAAACAATAATAGAAAAGGATTCTAATATCAATTGCATACTCCCTACAACTATTTCAAACACATTATTATACGTTGAAACTATACAAGTCTTGTTTTATTGAGTCTCACAGTGTATTTCTAGTGCTCCTTGTAGTAAATACCAAAAGAACTCTTCTTGCATTTATATCTTCTATCCCATATTAGTAAATAACATATATAATTATAATTCCTATAAACAAATGCATATTTCACTTAAAATACACATCTACAGATAAATCGTACACGGTGAAGCATCAAGCACCAATTTTTCACTCATCAGCTACATACAGTACAATATTACACCGCTTTAATGTTGTCGAAGAAATGAATTCGTGTGAAAATAATTTCATTTTTATTTGAATTCGTCATTTCATCGGGCAATTTGTGAGTTGTTTACATGTAGCAAACACATAATATGATGGTCAACAAGAAGATGGATCCAACAAAGTTTTAATCTGGCTTCGTACTGTGTCTCTAATAGAAGAATAAGGAAACTTATCTATCACCTCGCCTCCAAAAGCAAAAGTCAGAACTCTTCTAGCAGTCTTTAAGTCGATGCCACGTGCCTGGAAATACAGGAGTTGACTTTCTTCCAGATCACTTATAGCAGCCCCATGGGAGCACTTGACATCATCGGCCACAATTTGAAGATTCGGTTTAACATTTACAGTCGCACGAGGTTCAAGCAGAAGACTTCTTGTTAACTGACCTGCATCAGTCTGCTGAGCATACCTACACACCACAATAGTACATTGCTGATATACAGTGGCTATACATACTTGAAAACACATTCCTCTTCTTCATCTAGCGCAACAAATGAATGACAAGCAACTTTTTCACCTAGGATCTGTTTTTTCCATCCTCACTTGTTTTAGTTTTTGAAACCGTTTTGTAAATCAATTTCCAACTATTTAGTAATCAATATCTCGTCTAAAACCTAAGATACTTTCTTATTTTGTTTCCCCATTGTGTTCAATCTCTTACTTCAATTCCACACTATCCTACAGCCACCACCAATTGTCTGCACAACCTTGTTTAGTTGCTTTTGAAAACTAAAAAACATCTTTTTGAACATAGAAATCAACCACATCATTAGATTATATAGAGTGCATTTCATTCACAAATTGCAGCACAAGGGTACACATACCTGTTAACCTTAACGTTTCCGTCAAAAACTGCCTGTCCCTGTGAATGAGTCACAATGCATTTGTGAAGTTGACGAGAATAGCCACGTGGATGGTCCAATACAAGAGTACTATGCAGATCCTGCGTTTGATCACCAACAGACAAGTGCAAAGTCGATAACTCCGTGACAGTATCAGGACCCAATTGCTGGATATGAAGATTGTGCCTCCCCAGTTTTCCTCCAGCGCTTACCTCTACAAGTTCATATGTACTAGACGATTCCTGCAGGAAAATAATTGACACAGGATCTCACAATCAGATCTTGTCAAATCAAAATCCCTAAAGATAAAGGCAATGATTTGACGAATGGAAGGTTGTGACCTGGCGAACGGAGGTCCATTTGATGTGGGCGGCACGGAAAGACTGAGTCTGGATGTAAGAATGCGAAAGCTTGGCACCTTCTCCAATGACGGCCTCAAAAGCAGCGTTACTCCAATAACACTCGTTCTCGTTCCCCGGCGTCGAGGAAAACTCTTCAATTATGTCGACACGCGCGCCTTTCTCGAGCACGACGAGGGCCCTGGGATTGGAAAGGTGCATGGTGTCGGAAGCGTGGGTGGTGGTAGGCTGCGGCGGAGTGTATTGTAAGTGGATGGGGGAATCGACGTGGCAGCCCTCGGGGACGTAGACGAGGGTTAAATCGGGAGCGGCGATTCCGTTGATGGACCAGAAGAGGTCAGCGTTGGGGAGGGTGTGGGAGAGGAATTGGGAGACTGTGTGGAGGAGGGGGGAGGAGGAAAGGGCGGAGAGGGGGCCGACGTAGACGCCATGAGGGAGGTGGGAAGTGAGGAGGTTGACGGGAGTGGGATGGGAGAGGGGGAGGATGCGGGATTGTCGGATGAAGGAGAGGTCGGTGAAGCGAAAGGGCTCGTCTCGGCGGGAAGGCCATGGGGTGGAGAGGAGGGATTGGGAGGAAGCGTTGCGGAGGTTGTGGAGAGGGAGAGGGGTGGAGGGTGTGGAGGGGATGGTTTCTTCGAGGGTTTCTGCGAGTTCCAGAACGTAGGGGTCAGAGGTGAAGGCTTGTTGAGAGTGGAGTGAAGAGGCTTTGGGTTTCAATTTTCTGTGAGAAAGAGAAGAAGACGAAGAAGAAGGGATCAGGGAACTCAGAGCCGCGGGGGAGAAGGCTACACCGTTCATCCTCGTCTCCTGTCTGCCTCGTCAAATCTTTCTGCTGTTTTCTTGTTATCAATGCCAATCATCAACTGGGCCTTCCCCGGCCCAATATTTTCCAAGCCCAACCCCAACATTGCTGGGAAACAACTTTATTCCTTAATACATTATAAAACTCTACACACTTCCACTATATTTTATTAAAATATAGCTTAATTTAAGTTTTATGCTTCTTTTATTCTATTTTTTAATTATACATCATGTTAGAATTGGTTTCGTCTCACTTTTTTTTCATGTTAGACCAAAATAATATTAAAGTCGACACAATGTGACATGTTCTCTCAGCCCTAATAATCAAAATAAGTAATTTGATATTTATTAAATATTTTCAATTAAAAAAATAAAAATATAATGTATTTGTGAGATAAAAAAAAAAAGTAATGTGTATTTGTTGACTCACTTGTAACATGTAAGAGTAAAAGCTAAAAAATGTTGGTGAGATGGATTGTTGAAAAGAGTGTAAAAACTAAAAATGAAGTGAAGTAATGAGAATGTTAACATTGATAGAATCATTAAAAGGTTTTCCACGACGAATGAGGGTCTTACACTGAATGCATCCATGCATTTTATAACGTGAAAAATATAATCATCAACATCCTCCTCAGAAATATTCCTACTAATTAATAGTATATCAAAAGGCTAATACATACTCAAATATATATATTATTTATATTTAATATCCATCATCATCATCATCATCATTCATCAAACAACAGATTATCCATATCCATGAAATAATGCATCATCTAAGGGCTCTCTCTCTCTCTCTCTCTCTCTCTCTCTCTCTCTTAATTAGTCCACTCCATGAGATGGTAAATGGTTCTGAAACACATCAATTCGAGGCTCGTCACAAGTCACAACAAACTCATCACCAGGTATGAACTCTTTAAAGCATGCTAGTCTCCCCAGTTCCTCAACTTCCTCTATGACAAGGTCCAGTTTAGCCACTGTTTCCACAAGCAAAGATGCAAAGGCAGCAAAAGGAAGAGCCTCAGAGAACTCAAGGCTAGTGATTGCAATTTTACTCAGTTGGGGCCTCAGAGACTTTCGTTCCGATTCCTTTGTCTGTTCAGTGGTAGACCTCTTGTTTTTCCATTCTAGCAATGCTGAAGAGTCGGTTTTCACACTTGATAGGGAGGTCTTTCCATGTCCAACTTGTTCAGCAGTTATTTTGAACATGTTGCTCCCTTGGTTGTGCCTGTGTTTGGGCCCTAAGAAGAGGCGAGGTTGAGATTTTATGGCAGTGTTGAGGTCTTGCAGGGCTTCGTGCAGATGATCAGAGAGTATTTCTGGTGAGCAATGGCGGCGATTCCTTATGCTGTTGGAAAGTTCTATCAGTACTTTCGATACTTCTGCTGCAAGCCGAATGCAAGGGTCCTTGAACATGGCTCTCACAGATCGTGGTGTCTACAAACATTTTCAGATGAAACCAGACAAATCATAGTATTAGTAGGATTAAAACCAATTCAATCACACTAACTATTTGACATTACTGATAATCAACATATGCAGTTTGCGCACACAAACATTTCTCAGAATAAACCAATGCGTGAGTGTGTTTACGAACAGTTTCAATCCATCAATAAAGAAACATGTGATGCACACATATTATTAGAACCTTCCCGGTGTCATGCTAAATCTTATGACATGCTTAAAATAATCCATTCCTTTAAATTTCAATCCTCATTTTTGAAGTTGAAATAATTACTATATGTATTTAGTTTGGTGGATGCTTTATTTGAGAAAATGTCTTACGATTCTGTAATAAATTCTGTTGATATTTTGTAATTATTGTTCGATTAAAGAACATAACTTTCAATTCACTTTTTTAATTATTTTCCCAACTTCTTTAATAAATATTAAATATAATAAGATATTTAAAAATACCAGTAGAATATAATATAATGTTAATTAAATTTTTTTCTCAAATCCGAAGTATTAAATATCTATATTTTATTTTTTGGTAAGAAAATAATTAAATTTTATTTTTATTCATCTAGCTAGTGATATTGCTTTTATCTCTCACACTTTTTTTTCATAAAATTAAAAAGTATGATAAATTTTTATTTTGTAAAAAAATATATCATTTATCTCTCCTGCATATCTATTTAAATCATATTTATTAATTAAGTGTAAATATCAGGATTTAGTTGGTAAAACATAATTAAGATTTAACTATTTATTTATAGTTTTAATTTGTGAAAAGCTTTATTTTTTAAATCTTAAAGAGTTGCTCAACTTCTTTAGGTTCAAATAAATGATAAAATTTATGAAGCTTTACCTGGATTTCTGTTCTCAAACAGCCATGTAGGGCCACCACAGTATAACCAAATTGACGCAGAACAGCTCCAACTTTTACATATTGCTGCCATGGAAATTTATGGCAGTATCTTGAATGTCTTGGCTCCCAACTTGCGTGCAATGCCTGCCCAATTCATGAGAGATTGAATCCCAATAAAATTGATGAATAAAAAAGAACTAACAAATACATGATTCACTCATTGCCTTACCAGTGTTTCATCAATGGATTTTGAATCCAAAACAGCCTTATAACCTTTGTATATTGGATCCTCAGACAATTTTATATCTGCAGACCCTTCTAGGTCTCCATAAAAGTATTCATTCACACAAGCTGCAACATTTTAATCACCTTCAATGTGTTAATTTAAACTGACACAGTAATTTTCACTATGATAAAGAAAATAAGTCTCGTGAATAATTATTAGGAGTTTGAATACCTTCTATAGATTTGGCAAGGCCTTCGAGCTTGTAAACTGTGGAATTATGAAGGTCTTCTCCTGACCAATTTGGAAATACCAGTAGACTCATCAGAAGGCAAACAGCACAGCCTATGGCAATGGTGTATATGCGCTCATGTGTAATCTTCGACACATTATCAACCCGGTAGCTTGACACAGCAATCAGGTTGAAGGTCAACAGAAATATAACAATACCATAATCATAATTCTTCTTTATATAGGGAATAAACCTCATATAAGTAGCTAGAGCTCCTGCAATAAGAGTATTATTAATGTTTAGTCATCATTATAAGCCTTCAGCTGTCACTAATAATCATTTGTTCTCTTGATTGCATGGATTAATTCTTGTGATAAAAATTTGAAGAAACTTAGAATGAAGTGAGTTAATCAGAATGTTAACATTGGTAGAATCAATAAAAGACAGCCCTTTTGATCAGAAACTTCAATTTAAGTCTTGATGTAATTTATTGCCTGATTTCTCAGAAAGTTGAAAAGCAAATCTATGCACCTATAAAAAAAACTGCAGCTCCAATGATAATAGCTTGAGAGGCTCTGCTACTTGCATTTGCAATATACCCAACCATAAATGCCAACAATCCTGCTAACAGTGTTCCCAATCCTCTATTGAGGCCTTTGCACAAAGTTGCCCCTGGAACCAAATAAAAATATTAAGGTCATCCAATACATGTCAAAGGACCGTATCAGCAGAATCAAGTAATGACACAAAAGTTTGTTAGATATATAAGAGAATCACTTGCCTGCTGTGAATTCCAACACAACCACCACAGTCATGACAGCCCAAATAGCACTCTGTCCAATCCTCTTGTAAAATGGTTCCAACAAATACAACAAAGAAACAAGAGTGAGAGACAAACCCACTTTGAATGCATGGATCAACCTTCTTGGATCTTCACGTCCCACCTTCCACGTAGTTTGCCAAGCCTTAGTAGGAACTCTCATCACCCTCTCACCAAAAACATGCACACGTTTCTTCCAGTTCCCATTCATTATGCAACTCTCATTCTCAACCATTTCCATTTCCTGACCAGCAAAAACTTTGGGAACCATTTCTTAATTAATAAAGGTGCAAGCTATAAGTGAGACGACTCTATAGTAAAGACCGTGACGACGTAGAAATGCAACAAGTTAATAGGCTTCTCAGGAGGTGTTTCATATTTCATTAGTCATAACACAAAAAATAGTTTTATAAAAGGGAAAAAAAACTGATATTTTTGTCATTTTGTGGGTTAATGGGGAGTCTAGATGCATGAAAGAGAACCCCAATTTTGTCCATGAAGCAAGTGTGAACTTTATAAGACGGGTTAAAGGTAGAAGCTGGTAATGTCATTTCTACCTTCACGTGCATTCCATTAAAGTGACAATGCTTTAAACTGAGTATCTCTCTCAAGTCTTAAAAAGTCGAAAAAGAGAAGAGAACTCCAATTATACTAGTACTATTTTTTGTGGTGACTGGTTCCATGTTACTTGATTATTATTTTGTCAGTCTATTTTTTATGGAGCTCAACAATATGATGGAACATGAAAGCCATTAAGATTCGGCAAATGCTTAGAATTTTCTCCACCACACAGTTAAAATTACACGTACAAATACTTAAAATACTTAAATTTGATGCTGAATATGGTGAAGGTGACAAGTTGCACCGACCAACTTACGTACATAAAGTACAATGCAGAACTAGTTCATTCAACAAAAGGGAAGCTCATTGATTCACCTAGCATAAATGCTTGATTACAGATTCCCATTTCATTCACAAAGCAAGCAGCTGGTAGTGTATGTAATTCTTCATTGACTAATTTCTAATCACATAATTAGGTGTCATTAATTTTTTTTGTCTCATAAATTGAAATCATAACTATCAGATAGAAATTGATGAAGATTATAAACACATGACAGATATTGAATTACTTAATAATTTTCGGTTGAGAGTTTCATTTGATTGGCATTAAAGAGTGCTGCTGCCAGCTGCATTATGGCAGTGTGCAAATGATAGTGTGATTGCAGCACAGTCCAAAGGTGCTGTTGACTCCAAGGGCTTCACGGGAATACAACTAATAATGGCCATAATATGGTATGAATAAAAGGGAAGAAACGTGTGAACTGTTGTATATGTATTTGATATTAAGGTAGCTTTTTTGAATATAAATGGTGTCCTCAAACAGCTGGGATTACTTGATTTTTTTCTTTTTCTTTTGTTTTGATATATTATTAAGCGGTTCTCTCGTGCATTTCCAACTTCTCCATGACTCCATCCGTTTGAAGCTGAGATTTCAACATCTGCCTCCATAAACCAATTGCCATCTGTATTCTTCAATTTTCTACATGTTGGAAACAATTTCTCAATTAAATTCGGATCACTTGTGCCGCTACCAGTCATGCATCAACCCTAACGACTGAATCAGTTGAGAGGGTAAGGATCCGATTCTTTCAATTTCTTATGGAAAAAAGTTATCCATAATGAGATCAGCCTTGCGTACTACTTACATAACCCAACCTAATTTTCAGACCTAAAGTTAAATTTATGCAGAATCAAAGTTGTACAGAGTCAAAATAAAGAGATTAAAAGTACAATTACGTTTTTTTTTGTTTTTATGTCATCACATCAGAATAAAATCTTTCATATTTTCTCAGTCTTGGTATGGCTTTAGAGGAGGTAGTATCGTCAACAGCAGCAGGTGATCCCTAAACCCCTAACTCTAAACTCAAAACATAATCAAGTCCAATGCACAAGACATTTCTCAGCTTCAATGGGTTCTCATCTTAGGGGAAAAAAATGAAGAAGAAGAAGAAGGAGAAGACACGCCATTGATGCCCTTGAGCTCCAAGAGAAATGTATATATCGGCCAATTTCATACCAAATGCTTAATAAGTGAATCATGCCTGACCATGTTAGAATTAGCAAAGAATAAGGCGTTGTCATTAACACCAATGAATACATTACCCCTTATCACAATCCAAAATGACCTTTAAACTCCTCGAACGTTTAAGGAAAATATCAAATTCGATCAAGTTTATTTAATTAACAGTTATTTTGTTATAGATTATCAACCAAAAATACACCATCTTTTTTCATTTTAACTCATATTAAAGAGATTAGGATTCAACAAATAAAAGTGGGTAGACTCACAAAATTAAACTAGAGGAACAAAATACTGTGTATCCTTGGTCTAGGGTATTTTCTACATTTTATAAGATTTAAGGGGTAAAAAACGTAAGCAACCAACGCAAACAATGAAGTTACTTACTTCTTAGTCTCGTGCCCAAGTTAGATATATTTGTTTCCAAGTAATCAAAAGAGTAAAAGTATTTGGTGCTAAAATTGATATTTGTCACGTTAACAATTCAGAAGTCTTTACTCATACACAATTCTTTATGTTATAATCCTTGACAGTGCCTTCAAAATACTCTTTAGTATTTTTGCCTATTTCTTATTTCCCAGCTACTAACAGATATTCAGACATTCAATAAGTTGAGCTAAAAACAGAACAAAGTTTTTATGTAAATAAACTATTCCTGATTATGCTCAGGCCCCATGGCAAAGACTAGGAACTTGCCCCAAATATACGAATTCTCTGTTCGATAGGAACCCGGCAGCATGGACAAACAGCTTTGCCATTTCTCCCATACTCTTTGCTGCAACTAGTACACATAACTTGGTGTGCGCATGGCAAGAAAATAACGGAAACCTCATCTTTTCCACATATAATGCATCCTCTATCAGTATTAACGATGGCATCTTTTCCAGACAAATCCGGCACGTTATCTAATTCTTGTAGAAGCTTAGCAATTATCTCTCTCTGGGGTTCTGCATCCTCAGACTCCCTCGCAGGCAAAGTAGCCGACTGTGCGGATGCTTTAAGAAACGAAATTTCCTGTTCAAGTCTTAGGAGATCATCCTTACGACGCTGGAAATCTATATCTATCTTCAGGCTTAAAGCCTTAAGATTTCTCTTTTTATTAGCCTCAGCTGCTTCCTTAGAACGGCGTTCCTCTGCAATTAGTGCTAAGGCTTCCTCCTTAGCCTTCACTTCTTCACCCCTCATGACCTGTCATAAGTTATTATTATGCAGAATAAAGGATCCATGACAAGCATTTGGTCTGATAAACATAGTTTTATTTATAGAGTAAGTTCAAGAAAAAAGAAGGACCACCGAGCAGAAAGTTAAGAAAGCGCCAGACAAAAACTGCCATTTGCATGGCTAAGAGGTTGAATGGTAAGAAATTTGTATTGAGTGCATACAATGCTGACAAAAACTGTATCATGCTAATCGACCTGAATGCAACCAACTGAAGAAAATTTCCGCGATGAATATTCATATTCACTGTCTAGATTACGAATAAGAAGACACCAATAAATAGAATGCGTGTTATTTAGGATCATCATGGAGTAAAAGACATGAATTCTTCACATAAAAGCTGACAGGCATATATACAAATACGCACTGCTGTACCTGGTAACTGGGAGAAGTTTTCTATTTACGGGAGCAACTCCAGAATATTAGTAGAATTGATGGATTCATTTCAGAGAAATCACTTCAATTTTGATTGAATTCGATTAAAAGTAACAGACAAAGCACATAGTTCTAAAACACCATGCACATTTATATGCATTTATAAGCATGCCAAGAAGCATATATACACACATGAGAGCAATTCCAAGCAACCCTGTTGAGGTTATAGGTGCCATGCTGTGTCTTACACAAATATCCAAGTCAAATGTGTCTCATTGAATGAAGCTCCTCCTTTTCACTTTCCATGATTCACAAGTACATACACTGTTATGTTACAAGCACAAACATTATAATGTATGAAATGGACAAAAAAGAAGACACAAAGTTCCTAATGGTAAAAACTACTCTAAACCAGTAATATACAAACAAAATCTCAATAAACATAAGACATGTAAAGTTTCAAAATCATTCCATAGACTCCAATTTCATGATAGATATATTCAATTTTCATGTGAAAATAGTTCAAAACCTCTATGCAGAAAATGTAGATTTCAAAATGATATGAGCAAACCTCAGCTTCTTTTGCACATTGTTTAATATGAGCCAATTCTTCTTGTATCTCCAATATCTTCTGTTTTTCATCTGAAATATCCTGTTTTATCTTCGCTTTCTGTTTTTCCGACGCCAGAAGCTTCTTTAAGAACTTTTTCTCCCTTTTTGCAACTTGCAAGCAGCTTGCCACTGACTCTGATGCACTTAATTTACAAGCTTCTAACTCTGCTTTGATTTCAGCTTTCTCCGCCTCAAGTTTTTCTACTCCTGCAGTTGCTATATCCATTTGACCACAAGCCTTTCTCAAGGCCTCCTCCATTTCTAAGAGTCTCACCATGGTAGGGTCCTCAAGCTCCTCATTTTCCTCTTTCCCCTTCTTCAGCCTTTCATTATCCTCTCTTTCTATCCTGAACGTTTTCAGCTCAATTAGATAGCTGCTTAGCTTTCTTGCAGCTTGGATTGCCTTCTGATGAGCCCAATCTTTCCTCTCCTTGACCTGTTTCTCAAGATCCTTTATCTGATGAAATAGAGTGACTATCACCGTATCCTTCTCATCTGCTGCCACAAACTCCAAGTTTTCATCAATATTTAGATCATGAAATTTACTTAGCAAAGAGTTCAAGTCATCCTGGTCATTCATATTGTGAGAGTCACCGGGCAGCTCACGAAGGTCCGCGGTCACAAAAACAGATGAAGAATTCAATTTGGAAACAGTGCTAATCCCAGGAAATTCTCCTGCTTGTGACTGCACCTGTTTTGAGTTAGCCCTATAACCCGCAGCAAACGCTGCAACATTTCTTTTCAAAGAATAAATCATCGCAGGAGTCAGATCGAATCTTTTCAGGAATTCAATATCTCTCTGTAACTGTACAGTCATCTTATTACCACAAAAGAACCCTTTCAAAGGAAAACCTGAGCCTCCCTCTTTTCTAAATCCCCTTTCCTCGTTCTCAAACTCAGTTAAAGGAGGAGGACACACGCTTCCAACGGGAATATGGATGGTAGTAGCCTTTAACACGTTGTAATCGCTCATGAGGAGACACCACATAGCATCACCCTTACCTAACTCCAGCCTCACTTCTTGCAACAAGGACACAAGATTCATCAGAGTGTACTCCTCAAGCTTCTTCAAATCAGAGAACGCAGGCTTGAACTCATGCATGTCCAAACTCCCCCTTTTCAAAAAAGCCAAGGTGTTGTGCAGCAGGTCTGTTGCCAAATCATTGTCGCCATAACAATGTACATTATGCAGAATCGCTTTAACGACAACATTCTCGTTGTACCCCAAGGCAACAAGCTTTGACACAGTATCATTGTATATAATTTCCATGCATTTCAACGAAATGTCTTCCAATTGAACCCCATTGCACAAAACCCAACCAGATGATTCAACATTAGGGTTTGAATCAGAATTGGGACCCTTGACATCATCGTATCTATAGGGCACCATCCATCCATTGTTCAAATTAAAAGATGAATAGGATTCGGATTTCATCCAAAGAGCTTTCCAATCAGCTCGAAGGGTTTCATTCTTCATATTGAAACCCGCGTGATTATCCCTACAAATTTGTGAATTAATTCAAGACATACAGATAATAACCAAAATGAAAATGAAAATGAAAAAGAACAGAGACACTCACAGAGGGGTATCGGAGAGAATTTTATCCTTATAATTCACTGCTCTCTTCTTTGTTCGGTTGAAGATAGAAGAGTGCAACGAAAATGTGAGTGACGAATTCAGTGTGGATAGGTTCAGTGTTCAGTGAAATTCGGTGAAGCTCAGTGAAGGTGTTAGGAGCCACCACCGCAACTTTTCGTTTTGGGGTTTTGTCCATTTATAGCTTTCTCTAGGTGGGCCCTCAACCTCATCAAATTTGGGCCATAGTTGGCTTTTACTTTCTGGAACCTCCATAATTGTTTTCCGCACCTTCTCATAATGCTCTGAAAAGTTTTTAGATTAAATATTCCAAGGCATATTCAAAGTAAATAAATAATATATATCGAGAAACAGGGATTTCAGAATTCATTTCGAAATGTATAATTTGAATTAAATTTCTAATTATTTTTTGTTATTCATTATAGAACATCTTGTAATAAAATTTGTGGAATGAAATCTTTGAAACTATTTCAATTTTTTTCTTAAATGTTCTTTTCAAATGTGTAAAAATTAAAACAAAAATGTTCCATATAAGTTTTTTTTGGATACAAATATGCTAACTTTTGATGTCTCTTATATTTGGAAACCAACTTATCACATGCATTGAACGTGGATGGTAATTACACAAATAAACTAAAATATAAACAAGAAATAAAATAAAAACAATGTAATATTTTCATATATTGGATCATTTTTAGAAATGATAATATATAAATATATATAATAGAGATTTCATTTTAAAAAAATAGTGATGGAAATGGGAATTAATGAAAAGAAATAATATTAATAAATATAAAAAAATTGATATCACTTTTAATATATATTTTAATTAATTTTAAAAAAATTCATAGTTTAAAGAAAAATAATTATTATGATTTTTAAATTAAACAATAATAAATATATGATAGAGAAAAAAATATGATACATACATAATGAAGCAAAAAGTAAGTATATTTAAAAATAAAAATATATTAAAAACAATTTATTCTATTTAAAAACTAAAACTAGCGTGTTTTATTCAATCTAAAATTCAGTTTTAAAAATTATATAAACTATTTTTTATCATAATTCTTAAATAAATTGAAATTTATGAACATATATAAGATAGTCACTGAAGATCAAAGATAAAAAAAATAAAAAATTCTATCTTTGATTTTTCTACAAGTGTCAATACTTTATCAAGAATAAAAATATTTAAACCTTATATCTATTATAATAATATAATTAAATTAAATTAGCATGTATTTTTTATTTTATAAAAATAAATAAATAAAAATTATAAAAATTAATTTAATTAATTAAAAAATAATTTTAAAGAAATTATAATATAAATTATGTATTAAATTTTACCTATGTATAAGATAATATTTTAAGATTTTTTTTTTTTAATATCGTGATCAGAATGAATTCCAATTTCCATTGTCTGAGACATATATAAAATAATATATTTAATTTTAACTTTCTTTTATATGTAAGAGGAAAAAAATAATTAAAAAAATTATTACACATTCAAAAATACAATTTTCATTATATTTCTTTCAACCCACAAATCCCTAACTTTATAACGGAGCTGAATTTCTTGTCCACGTCAACATTTAGAATTCTTAAACTCCCACGTTTGATTTTGCTCACAATAGAAGAATTGTAATCATCACCTTTAACAATACTTTTAAATCTGAAATTATAATAAATATAATTTTTATACATTTTAAATCATTTAATCCAAAACTTTAAAAAGATTTCATTCATGGATTTCAATCATATTAGAGTAAATAACTAGAGGATAGTTGCTCATTCCCTTTTTTTATTCACTTTCTTCTCGATTCAATTCAAACCCATTATTTTTGCATTTTTTTTCACACTTTATTTTATTCTTATATATTCCCAACCCATAAATTTTCTTTTATTTTATCAATTATTCATGGATTAGTATATTAGTTTAATTTGAAAGGAATATGAAAAATGAATAAAAGTATTAATGTTCCTAATTCTTTTATATTTTTTTATTGTTGGGATATAATTAATTTGTATGATTTATCAAATTAAAATTGTTAAAAAATTTATAAATTTAAATAAGTCATACAATATCAAATATATAAGAATATTTCAATTTGTAAATTTTTGTAATGAAATATACTGCACGATGAAATATAATTATTTATATTTTTTATAATTTTATTATTATAATAAATAGTAATATAATTGTTTATATTATTATTAATATAATAATATTATTATATTTATTATTTAATATTATTATAATCATTTTATTATAATATATTATTTTATAAAAATATGTTTTTTATCTTCATTTTTTTTCAGAATGAACAAAATTAATTATTATTATTATTATTATTATTATATTAATAAAAGATGTAAATTACAATTTCAATATTTTGTTATTATTTTTTATTAAATATTACAAAATTAAAATTTTAACTTATTCATAACACTACTTGTATGTAAATAAAAAAAATGAATTAAAATAAATTTGCAACCCAATGATTAAAAAATTAATTTTTTTTTCCATATATGTATGATGTGCGCATAAACCTATATAGCCTTGGATGCTAGATTGACGTATCAAGAAAGACGACTCTGAGTAGAAGATAAGATAAGCAGAATATGTCGACAAATCATGCAATGGATTTCACCTACACATCAAAACTATCATCATTTTTTGTCCAACTATGCTTTAATAGGAAACAATTAATGATTCTTTTCATCTTACTCACTCAATATTTTGAAATTATTTAATTTGCTTCATATTAAATTTAATAGATACATTAAACGTTGTTAAGTTTCACATTATTTTTATTTTTTAATCACAAAACTCAAACATATTTTATTAGAAAAAAATACTATTTAAATTTGTAAATATTGATTAAGAACACTAAAAATAATAATTTTTTTCTTTAAAAAAAATACTTTTATGAATCATTATTATTCAAAATCTAATTGAATCTTTTTATCTTATTTTATAATAATGTTAAAAATTAGAGATAAGATCATTTTACATCTAAATATATAAACTTCGTATCAATGTTTGAACACAGAAGAAAGTGAATTTAAAAATATAATTTTGGGAAAAAAAAGGAGAGATTGGAATTTAGGTAAAACGACTGACATAGAGGACCACAATTTAGGTTAAGCGAGCCATGATCTTTATTTCTCAATCTTGTAGCTTAGTAATAATTCTCAACAACAGTCCACAGATCCCTCTTTTCTTTGTCTTCCCACTGTTTCTGCATAAAGGAAATGCTCAAGGTGGTCCTTTACTGCTTCACCATTTATACTCGTCACAACTCATCAACCAATTTTTTTCAAATATTAATAAATACTAAAATTTTATAGCAAACAATTAAAATCAGCTGCTTAATATGGATATGTAAAACACAGATAAATCACACTATATCACTCACAAACGTGTGAATCAATTAACTCAAATTGTTCGACTTTAGTTAATAATAACCTTAGATTCAAGTTTTAGACCTAAAATGGTATTAGGACGGTTGTTGAATATTATGATATACTGTTGTCGCTTTTACTCTCTCTCCACTTCATCAGTGACAAGTTGTCAAGGGCATGTGTTTGTCCCACCTGGGAGTTGGGGCACTATTTAATTTCATTTCTGGTGAGAGTGTCTTAACTCTTCTCGTCTTCTTCTTTGCTCCTTTTCCAGTTGTTTCATGCATGGCTCTCTAAGGGGAAGAAGACTTGTTGTGTTCCACTTCTACTTTATCCTGTATGCAAATTTAGTTGCTCTCACAGTCTGCTTCATCACAGTCTGTTTATGCAAACTATAGTTCGTTTTCCCTGCTTTTTTATGCCATCATCGTGTTTTATGTGCATCACTTATTATAGTTTTTTTTTCCAGGAGTTGTTCAAATGGGAGAAAGAGGTTTACTCTCCACGTAGAGTTTGGTAGATAAAGATAATATTTTGAGATAATGCCGATTCCACTTGCCCCCTACCCTCCACTCCCTCCATATGCGCCTCCACCAAATGGTATCTTGCTTACCCTTTCTTTCTTTGCTCATTCATATTGGCCGTAGAATGATATCACTCTTGAATTGTTTCCTATATAAAGATCAAAAGTCCAAGTCTAATTTTCGGTTCTGATAGTTAATGGAGGAAACAAGATATTGTTTTGAAGAACAAGTCCTTTAGAATGATTCAAGGACATAAAATGGAAAAGCCCAATTCACTCAAAGGAATGGAATTTTGGTTTCCCTAATGGTGGATTGAACATGAATATATATGTGTCTAGTAAAATTCCTTTGAGACTTTAAATTTGTTTGGAATGTGTTGATTGGAGATAATTTGTTAGAATTTAGATGTCAAGTTCTGTATTCTAGTCCAATTTCTTTCTCTAGTAGCCAGGCTTGCCATTTGAAAAATTTGGCCTGTATTAATGACGGGATGAATGCTAGAACATTTATTGCCATGCATTAAAGAGAACAGAGAGAAAAAGAAATGATAATTTATCTCATACTTGCGAATCATTTATGTCAAAACCTTCCTTGGTAACCAGGTGCGCAGAGTCAAGTTGTCTGTTCTGGGTGTAGAAACCTTCTGCTCTATCCAGTTGGAGCCACATCTGTGTGCTGTGCTGTTTGCAATGCATTAACAACTGTGCCACCTGCTGGTACGATCTACTTTCTCTCTCTAATTCTTGTTATTTAGAAAGTTCAACTTGTTACCTATTCCAATTTTTTCTATGAACCAAATATAAGTGAGATGAACTCATAAGCCTTTATATGCACAGAAATGGCCCAGTTAGTGTGTGGAGGCTGTCACACTTTGCTCATGTACATCCGTGGAGCGACAAGTGTGCAATGCTCTTGTTGTCACACAGTCAATCTAGCTTTGGAAGGTATTGAACCACAAAAGCCTGATGAGCTATAAAAATTAAAAGTTGCGTGTGTTTGTGTGTTGTGTATGCATATTCATGGAGATATATATATGGACGAGTTTCATTACTGAGCTAAATTGTTATTATTTGAATCATTACTTTGTATGCATGAACACTGTAACAGCAAATCAGGTGGCACATGTCAACTGTGGAAACTGCAAGATGCTACTGAGGTACCAATATGGAGCAAGATCCGTGAAATGTGCGGTTTGCAGTTTTGTAACATCAGTTGGGGTCAGTACAATCTCTTCTTTACGTACTATGAAGATTTCTGCTAACATGAGTCCCAGAATGATAGTGAAAGGATCGTTAGGAATATTTTATTTAAGAACTCTTTCCGTACTTTGGGAAGGATAGGGACATGTTTGGTGAAAGAGAGATTAAAGTTTACTCAATAGAAGGAAGGAAGGAAACCAGAGTGAAAAAAGATATTAAATGTTCATATATTAGTAAGATATTAAATATATTTACTTCTTTGGTTAATACTTTGCAAAGTATTGGGAGGACTACTAAGAGAAGAAGAGCATGACATTATTCTTAAGTTCTACAAGTTAGTATGATTGATTAAATGTGTGTAATAGTTCTGTCACACTTTGGAAGTACTTTTTTTATTAGACCAACTATTTATTCTGATGCATTCTTCCTTTTCTTAGCTAATTTGAACTGCATTCTTATATGCATATTGCTTAACTGTTGTTAGTGAATGATGCAGGCCTCAACAAGCACCACTGAGCAGAAATTCAGCACCTAAAGGGCTGAATCTTTCTGTAAAACTCGTTACAGACACCAGGACTTTGGTTTCAATCGTCACATTTCATCACCCTTGAGGAATAACGACTGAATTTGTGATATAGAGAAAATTCTCCTCAAATGTGTAGAGCTATTTTTCTCTTGAGTGAAACAATTAAGTTATTTTGGTATTATTGGTGTACCATGTCGTGCTTTATCTTTAAGCAGTTTAAGCCTCTGAAGGAATCGATTTCGCCCCAACAGTGTCGGTGTCAGTGGCAGTTTTATATAATATCAATGGCAGTGTCGTCCTAAAAGCTATTTGGAATAACTATTTATGATAAGATATTGATTCTGAGTGCTTTTGAAATTGGGCATCTTTAGATAAGGGTCCCGTGCTTATATTTATTTGGTTTATGAAGCATGAAGCAGAATCGAACACCATTTATTTCTTTCAATCGTAAATATACTGCCTCTTGAATCAACCAAAGGTCCAAGTACCCTCACAGAATCTAGGTTTTCAATTCAAATGAAACATTAGATGGATTGATAAATTCAACAAGATAAAATCCGAATATGAAATCTGAACGGATATTTTGAAATGAAATTCATGTAAAAGCTAAAATGGTTCTGCAGAGGTTGTCCATTATTCTGTGGTTACTAATTTCTGATTCTGATTAACAAGACTATTTCCACCGAGGTATTTTGCTGCTTTATTTAATTGGACATTTAACTTAACTGCACTTGATTTTAAATTTATATCTTTATTTTCACATACACAATAATAGTCATGAGCCTGTCGCTAAATTTTTGGTATGTGCTCTGAAGTCATACAGGCCAGCAACATGTAACATGGTGCAGAGAGGTTTGGTGGGCCAATATCTTTGTATCTGAATCACACACAACATAGGTACCCTTTTTGGTAGATTAACTCAAGCAACGTGTTTTTGGGTCTTCAACTTGAAGCATTATGAGGTAGCAAAAGCCGATGAATGTGAATACTGATCTGGACATCTCGTCTTGCGTTAATTGTTTGTTTGAAATTGCCCCGTGTTATCCAACAGCCTTGAATATGTGACTGAATATTTTGTTCCACTCATTTTAAAATGTCACGTTCAATGAAAATTACTCCTTGGTAAGTATAAGGCGCATCATGAGTCATGAGTCATGAGTCATATTACAATAAGTGGCTGTGACTGTGGCTATCTCCTGAATTGGAATAGATTTGATTTAGATTAGACATGATTTCGTTCGGCTTTATCAAGCATTTTTCAAACTCATAAGTAGAAATCCCATACCATTAATCTGTTTAATTGGTTACAGGTTCATCCCATACCACTATTAGTAATTATATGTAGTTGTTTCCTATTTTGCTTTTTTGCAATTAACATCCATCAAGTGTACATATTCATGTATACATTAACATCCCCTTCCCCGTCTGGCTATTATAGTGGACATCATTACCTATTCTTACCATGAAATATAAACAAAATATATAACTACTCATTCTTTTTGCCCAAATGTCCAACTAACCAAGTCAATTGTTCTAACTAGACCAGCCGACCACCTTATATATACATCAATGTAGAAAATTAGTACAGGTCAGGATTTTTCTACCTTGCTTCCCACTGAAGCTGCTTAGAGAACCTTTCCTTCAGACAAGATTCCCACCTCAAGCAGAAATGCTGAACAACAGATAACTCAGTAATCTTAAAACATTCAGATGGTAAGCCGACCCCATCATTTTCGATTATAATTTTTTTTTTTCGAACCAAATTTCACTTAATTAATTTAATAAGAATGGCACAAAGTTCAAGCATTACGTAATGATAGCTAGAAAGGAATAGCAAGTACAAACAGTCACAAATAAGTGAACCGAATCATTCGTCCAACATTTCATCAATACTTCAAGGAACTACCATAATTCACCACGAACTACACTTTATATGTGTGCACTTGTTAAAGTTCAGATTTCTTTGTAGATCTCACACGTGGTCTTCTCAGCCAAGATACCCATCAACATTATTCAATATCTCTAGCAAAAATGCCTCAACCGCTAGACCTACAGACCTGGTAATATAGATTGGCCGTGAGATTTCGAAATTAAATTTGCTGGGTAATATTACCGAACTTCCTTAAATTGTATATTTAACTCCCAAGCACTTTTATCAAATGTAGCAATTCCCAAATACATTCATAGCTAGTGGTGAAAGACAGCTAAAAAGCACAAAGGAACCATCAAGTAAAGCCCAGTTAAAATGTCAGTGTTTAACTACAGATTCCACTGTATGCACAACTGAACAGAGAAAGCCCCGCCGGAGCAATTTTTACTACAATCTGCCCTGGTGTTCCACACAATGAGGAATAATTTTCCCATCTAATAGGATCTGTTTGTTCACTCTGACTGCCTTGGTCCCATTCTTCAGTTTAAACCTTGCCTGTGTTTTATGATGATCTTCTGCAAGTCCTTCTGGCATCGCTGACAAAACCTCATCAAGGAATTCATCTGCTACATCTCCATCTTCATCCATCCTAAGACGCTTAGCATACCAACCCAGACCCTGATGAAGAAAAACACAAAAACCCAGAAATATTAAACACCTGCGGGCAGTAATTACTAGACAAAGGAAAATTTATCTGACCATGCTACTCACTCCCATACTTAATTACTAAGCAATGGAGACAAAAAAGAAAAAATGTAAAGACATAAGCATAAGGTCATGAATGCTCCCATAACCCTAGTTTGCAATTATGTTTCCTCTCCCCTCTTTCATCTAGCATTGGAGTCTTGTGCCTTAAAGTTAAGCTGTTAAATTTTCCTAACTCGTACATAGTAAGTATCTAAGGTCGTGACTGTAAAAACAAAACCTATCCACCAAATAGATGCACAACAAAAAAGCTGTAATGACAATTCCAAATCATGAATTATGTACCCAAGTGAGGGAAATTGACAGCAGATTTAAACTTTAACAGTATACATAGATGAACTAATTACAGTGGAATATGATAATCATACCCCCTCCTCCAATGTTAGGACACCTCCAACCTGATTTTGCTATGTTAAAGTCGGTACAAATAAAAGACACATGTTTCTATTTTCATTCTTGAGCTAACAAAAATGTTTAACGTCACCCAAGCAGCTAGAAACAAAAGAGTGATCCTCAGTGTGCAGAATGAAGTAAGAAAATAAAGACAAAAAACAGTTATCCGCATTGACCTTACACTATTACAAAGTCATACCGATCTACTATTTTCCTGAAATCAAATATCTACAACATCAATAACATCCTCAACATATAAAATAATATTATACAACATCTATAACTAGAGCAATTTACGCATTTGAGGTAGGAAGTCCAAGACAAAACAAAGGGCTGCATTATGCTCCAAATGCAAACATTATAGGATACTCCTTTCAATCTCAATATAAGAAAGAAAAAAAGGTTTGAGTGTGTTGGCCTAGGTCTAAGCAAATTTTCAACTAATTTTACCTATCTCTAAGACGTTTTCCGTTTAATTGAGATTTTATTCCAATGACTCTTATTATCAAGAAAGGGTAGTCTAGGAAAAATGTTTATGCTTCAAATGAAATTAAAGCATTAAACTGATTATTTATTTATTTTTGAAAAGAAAAAAAAAAATGATTGATTGGAGTTCCAATCTAAAAAATGATTCCAATTGTTGCTACGAGCATACACAAGGACTAACGCAGGAACTATAGACTCGTGTTATTTACAATCCTAATAAGAAAATCTAAAACTAGGATTGAAAGATATTATTAGCCTCTGCACAGTCTAAACAATCCACAAGGGCCTTGATGTCCCAAATGCACAAAAGTAAGCACATAAGTTGTTATTTTCCTTTATCATGTCCGTACATTCATGCTATATTTAATCCATTTTCTGCAAAGTTAAATAGTGTAGAAGAAAAAGGTCAAAAATCACAAATGAGATATAAGATCCCAGCAATTATTTTGTCACTAACAAAAAACAAATTGTTAGGTTTCCCAAAATTAAATTGTACGGTAATAAAACCCAACAGAATTGGAATGATGAGAAAGGAAGGACCTGAATTCCGCCGTCGCCGGACGTAGAGGGAGTGAGAACGGGAGCGAGGTGGTGGCGGTCGACGACGACCTGGGTAGGGACGCTAAAGCCTTTACGAGGAAGACCAGGTTCTCTGACTCGATAGGGCGTCGTACGAGGTTGGCCGTCGTGCTCGTCGTCTGCGGCATCCTTGGAATCGTGATCGTGGTTTCCAAGCCCTAGAAATCCAGCAACCTTTCTGAACCATCCCATGACTGAAAGAGGGTATAAGAAAACGACGGGGTGTTGGTTGCGGCAGGTCAAGGATCCCTCTGCACTGCACGCTTTAGCTTGCACTTTGCAACCTCACTTGCTGCAAGGAGAACGAGAAACCAATGGACGCTATTTATACATCTAACCAATCAATCCATTCCTTCACTTTCTATCTGCTGCATCTTTCCGTTTTCCATTCTTTTTTTCATACTTCATTCTCTATTACTAAGACACATTATTTAAATTATCATTAATGCAGTTTTTCAATTAGATTTTAAATTTTACTTAAATAATATGTGATGATATTCAATGAAGTTTTATAGATAATCAAAAATAAAATTCTATCAGATAAAAATAACTATAATGTAATATCTCAGTTCACTTAATGTATAATATCTAATAATATATAAAGAATTTTCTTTTATAAATATTTTTATATTATTATTCAATCTATTATTTATCTAGTATATTCTTTCTATTTTATTTCTTTAATTAAATTATATAAATAAATAAAAAACAATTTTTTTCTATTTATTCAATTACACATTTCTTTTATTTATTTTTTCTAAATATAAATTAATAAATAAAATAATACAAATTATTGTTTTACTCTTTTAATTATATTTTCTCTTCCATGTATTGTTCCCATATTTTCAAATTATATATATATATATATATATATATATATATTAAATTTTAATTTATTAAAATAAAAAATTATAGTAAAATATAGACTTACTATGTACTTCCATTATGCAAATATTCCTTTTTTTAACTATTCTTTTCGTATTATTGTTTAATAAATTATTTATGATATATATTATCTAGGCATGGCAACGGCGCGGGTAGGTTTTGTCTCCCCGATTCCCGTCTCCGACTTTTTTAACAATTTTCGTCCCAGTCCCGATCCTCACGGGGTTAGAAATTAAGTTCCAGTCCCGTTGGGTTTCGGGTTCTCACGCCTCGCCCCTTCCAGTCTCCGATTTATATTATTTTTAAAAAGATAATTACATTTATAATAAATTAATTTTACTATGTATTTTTATACATAAATAAATATTTATAATTTATAATTATTATTAATTAAATATACATTTTAATTTATTATATTTATATTAAAATATATATGTAAAAGAAATATTTATTCATTTTTTATTTATATATATATCTAATATTTATAACATTATTATTATTATTATTATAACACCGTATTCAAATATTTGAATATTTATAACATTATTATTATAATACTGTATTTAAACATTTGATTATATATATAAGTTAATTCATTTTTAAGTTGTCATTAAAAATATGAAATATATATTTTATAAGGAAATATTTAATAAGTTAATTCTTATTTAATTAGTTTGAAGTAATAAAAGTTTAAATTATTAATTTCTTCTAATCCTTTAAAATATAATTATTTTATTAAGATAAAATTTGATATATGATAAATAAGCATAATAAGATAAAAAAAATATGACATAATAAAATATAATAAATATAAATTATAAATAAACTAATATTAGTTACTACTAAGATTTATGTAAAATATTTTAAAAAAAAGACAAAGAAAAAAAACTTTGTGTTCATCAAATTGGTTGAAAAGATTGAAAAAAAAATTGATGGAAGAGATTAAGAAAATGTGAAAAACTGAAAGATAAGAGAAAAAATAATATAATAAATTAATTGATATAAAAGATTGAAAAAGATAAAAAAAATTAAAAAGTGGGTAGAAGAAAAATAAAAATTGGTGAAATATAAAAAAATAACATTATATGTCATAGAAAAAGAAAATGAAATAGTTTTAAAATATTAATATTTTAAAATTTAAATTTAAATATAAAGTTGGGGCAGGGACGGGGCGGGGTGGAGATTGCATTACCCATCCCCGCCCGCCCCGACTTTTAAAGCGGGAAAACCCGAGCTCGAACCCGACCCCGCCCCGGTCAACTCGGATTTTACCAGTCAACTCGGAGCGGGGACGAGTCGGCCTCACGAGTACGGGTTTAATTGACATCCCTAATATTGTCTCTCTTAATTCATTTGTTTCTTTATGTTTTTCTCAATTTTTGTCTCTCTTCTTAAAATTTCAATCGAACAGAATAAATATTTATATTTTAAAATTATATATATATATATATATATATATATATATATACTAAATTTTAATTTATTATAATAAAAATACACAAGCAGCCTGTTAATTTTTTTTATGGTTTTTTTTCATATTACCCGTTTAAATATTTTGTTATTGTTACGCTGAGATTGTTTGTACTAGTTTCAAAATAAATTTTGATTAGTATATTATATTAGAATACTATTTGATTATATATTCTCAATATATAGGACTTGAAGAAATAAATTTCATTGAAATAAGCCTAACCATGCAGAATGACGATTATATCAATTTTTTTTATAACTTTTATTTTTATCTCTAAAAAAATTTATTAGCTTTTGTTAAATAAAAATAATTAATTTTATTATAACGAGGAGTTAACAAACATAAGAAAAATAAATCTGAAAGAAAATATATTATGAAGAATGATCGGAGAACATATATTATGCATAAGAAATAGAGAGAAACGTCTTATTCTGAAAGAAGAAAACATCCTAATACACATAAAAAATAAAAATATTTTAAAAAACTACTAATATAAAACATATAGACTCATGGCACATTAATATATGTTTCCACTAATATGTTAAAAATCTAATGCTTTCTTAAGAAAATACTAATCACTATTGCATTAATATTTGCAGAAAAATGTTTATATGTTATAAATTTAATTATTTCTTAAGAAAATACTAATCATTTTCCTTCCTTGCACTGTTGCATTAATATTTCTAGAAAAATATGTAATGTGTGAAAATATTTTAAATTAATCACACATGTGAAAGGATGTTTGGTTTTTACATTAATAAAAAAATGCCTATTATTAGTTTTTATAAGCAATACTTTTTCATTTTAAACTAGACTTGTCACGCCAATTCATATTACATTTTTACAAATTTTGTTTAAAAAGATATTTTTTTATATATAAATACACATTTTTATAATTTTTTAATTCGTATTTCGCTTAAAATTAAAAAATATATATTATAACTAAATATTAATTTAGTATAGTACTTTAATTTTAAATGATGATAAAAAATTTTGAGGTTTTAGATTTTTATAAAGATTATTTAAAAAAAAATTATAAGATCAAAATTAAAACTAAAAACTAATTTTACAAAAAAATATTTAAACAAGTAACGTATATTATTATTATATTGTTGTTATTTTGTAAATAAAATAAATATATACAGGTTTCTAAATTTTATTTTTCTTAACTAACAAAAAATTTCTTAAATTTACTTGAATGAGTTATTTAAGCAGTCGAGAATGTTTAGATAAAATAATTTTTGAGATAATTTCGTTTAATTGTTTCTATCTTTCTTTTTTTGAGAACAATGCTCTTAATATTTTAAAAACTCATTACTTATAATATATGGATATATTTTATACGAAAAAAGGTGAAAGCATATTAATATCGGTAATTTTTTACACAAGTGAATTTGAAGAAGGAAAAGATAGTAGCATGTATCCCACAGCTGTAAATGTAATTTTCAAAATAAAGAATCCAGAAGAGAATTTCATTATTATTTGTCATAACCTTGATTTTCTCATCTTATAGATGACTTCTCTCTTCAAGAGACCATCTGAAGACTAGTGTTTAACAAGTAATTATATACTTATGAGTAGTCTACCTCCCACATCTATCTTTTCAGGAGGAGCTTCAGTATAGATTATCGCTAACATTTAGTGTGACAACAAAAATTACACAATGCACACCACTCAATAAAAATTATCATTAACATAAAAAATACGATGTGTACAAGAAGATATAATCAATTAAAAGTTTTCATGAACATGCTGGCCTTGAAATTAAAAATACTCGACTGATTTTTCACAACCAAAATCATTTTGTCAGCACACCATATGATGAGGGAGGTCTCAACCTTAAGAAGAAACTCAGCAATAATTGATAACTGTATAGAACAGCGCCAGCACACTATTTGGGTTTGCTTCCATCTCCACCCATTAATCTGACGTTTTCCCATGTGGCGGCTAGCACCTTACCTCGTACGATCCTGCTTTTGTAATATAACGAACCCACTCAACAGTGTTGTATCCACTCTTTTCCCACACCTTCAGAGAGTAAATTAGAAAAACCAGTCAGTTCTAAGAAAAAGTTAAGGTGTCCACACATCCATGTTAAAAACAAAAAAGCGTCGTAAATCAAGTAGGATACCTTTAGAAAACGGACACGTAAACCAGATGCCGTGAACATAGGAACCTGCAATATGAAGTATAAGACTTGTACATCAAGCTACTACATAGGTAGCGAGAGTTTGGAGAGATTCTCAACTGGAGAATGTGATATATTACATCAGATATTTTCCCCCTCAGCAGAGGGCCAATATCCACTAAACTTACCCAAAAAGAAAAAGGAAAGTTTAAAAACATACATTTTGTCCAGAGAGAGAAAAAGATAAGACCAATTCACTTACTCTAGATCGAGGACTGAACTGAATATATATCAATATAAAAATGAATATACAGGTCCACGTCCTAATTCCTTAATTCACATGTATACAATAAAGCTGGATCAATTACGTATCCAACCATTTTCATGAATAAGCTTTCACAAATACTTCTAAGGCAATCAGGATGTTCCAGTCATTTTCGTGGAATTTGTTAAGACAACAGATAACATACCTGAAACTCCATCTGAATTGGCGGTCTTGTCCAAGATTTCTTCTCTGTCATCGTGGAAATAAGTTCAACTTCTGCACTCAAGGTTGGCTCAGTTTGCCCAGGAAATTTTCTTATTCTGCAAATTAAGAATAGAATAGGATGTCAATACCGAAGATCACATTAAATGGTACCCTAACTAGTTAAATTAGAAAATAAAACTGGGAAGCCTATCCTATTATACAATTACAATGTAAAACAACATATTTCAAACATGATTATTAATATAGTCAAACATGATTATTACAGCACAAAATTACTAAGTAACGAAGCATGCAGATTTATGTTATTCGTGATGCTGACTTAGGCTCTGAAAACCACTTTCAATAACCTTCATTTCACACAGCAATCATAGCAAAGCGAGACTCTTACTTCCAAACCAAACAATCAATAGCTGCATTATATTTTGCTCGACCAGATGTGACTGTGAAACTTGTTTTCGCAGTTTGTTTTGGCACAGGAATTTTGACAACAACTCCTAGTGCAAACATCTTTGCACCAAAGACACTCTTTACCTGAAAATCATGTTAATAACAATTAAAATGAATGGGGGATAGATGACATTCAAAGATTTGACCTTCAACATAAGAATTTTCAAACCTTAACATTTACTTCCATCCTTGTTCGACCAAGCTCCTTGATGGTTGGCAATACTTTGAAGGGAAGATTAACACCCTCAGTGATACGATATCTACCAATATAAAATAATGTTAGAAAATATCAGACAAGATCGATGACAATTATGACACCATCAAGAATTAACCCGATCCTACATCACTCCTGATTTTATAACAACAAGTGATGCAAAATGGTAAAATAGACTTCTTAGAGCTACTAAATATCCTTTGAATTTCATGATGAACTAATGCTGAGCAGAAGATGAGAATGACTTTAATGCTACAAACATTATGAAAGGAAGAAAGTAATCTAACAACCAAGGGTGCATAACCATCTTTCTAGATAAGTAAAACTTGGATAATAATAGGCTGTTAATGGCACGAACGTAAGATACATTTCCATAACAATTTAGGTAATAGCCAACATGCTCAATCTGTGGGAAAGGCAATGAAAACTTAATAAACTAAAGAAATGGATGTTTGTAAGAAAGATTTCAGATGCACCCTTGACTTAGCTCCTTGGCATTGAAGAGAACTGGATTTATGAAAATTGAGCAGTTGTAACCAGTATGAACCTAAGAAAAACTAGTTTCTATGTTGCCTTTGGTGGCATAAATCCAGTTTCATAGTAGGAATAAAACTTTTTCATATAAACATAAATCATATCATAGAGATGCCAATAATCCGTTGTCCCAATTAAAGTTTGGTGATGAAGATCTACCAAGACATAGATTATTAAGTGCCTATTAGAAAAACCAACAGAGTTATTTTGAAATAGTTAATGAAGAAGAAGGATACGGGCAAGGGAAAGGAATCACAAATCCATTCATGAAACTATCCCTTTTACCCGCCAAAGCATGCGTGTAATAAGTTTGTTGTAGGTCACAATTTTATATAACATGAAATTTAAAGAAAAGGTAAGAGCTTACTTCATTAGTTCAAATTCACCATCAGGGGGCACAAAACTAACAGTCTTCTCTGAGTTGAACCTTGTCAGATTTACACATTGATGGAAAGTGACATCATCAAGCTCAATAGTTTTACCACTGCCAAATAGATTTTGTTGACAATAGAAAACAATATTACTATTATAGCAGAGCAAAGAAAACATAGGATGAATTATCCCCCCAACGCAACACACAAGACGGACTAAGCTTTAGAAGAAAAAAAAGTAAGCACATAACTCTCTATGTTAATGTAACAGGCCAGACACATGTTTCCAATGATAATATAAAACAAAAGTGTGGGAACCATGTTCAAATGAAAAAATACCTTTTAGTAGGACGAGATTTAAGTTGTGACTCTTTCTCTAGGCCAATCTTGTCATTCAAACCCAACTTCAAATCAGGCATTCCAGAAAGAAAGCACTTCATAAGAATCTTTCCCGTTACATCACAGCGTAGAACAACACCTAAAATCATAACAATTAGCTCGAAATCAAGCAAGCATCAATTGGAGACAACAAAAATTAATGACCTACCCTTTGAAGACATAAGAAGATTAACACTCTCCACAATATCCAAGAAGACCTGCAACGTATCAATGCTGTAAATTTGTAATAGTAAGGCAATAATGATAAAGAATGGAAGATAGTGGACAACTTACTTCATTCTTTTTGTATACAAGGCCTTCTCTCCGCCAACCAACAGCACCAGTAACTTGTAAAGTTGCATTTGGAACAGGTCTATCTAAGGGCTGTACCACCCAAGCATTGTGCACAGCACAAGATGGATTATAGGATTTTGTGAGTTATTCAAACAATACAGAATTAAGAAATATAAATTCAAAACAAAAAAGAAATGGACAGACAAATAACACATGCGCACACAGAGCCAGTAATTTGAGAAATCACATCTTGAATATGTCTATCTGTGGTGGGGTGTTTCCCCTCTACTCCCCCTCCAACAAAATGGTATTTGGTACTTTTCATATATTCATGCAATTATAAATATTCTATTCTCCAAGGTTCCTTTTTCTAAATTTTTTTTTCATGTCAATGTGATTCATGTTAGTTCTACCAAGTCCCTGCACATGTACTTCAAAGTATTATTTACAATAGCATGTGCAGACTAACCTTGGATGAAAACGGGGAACGCACTCCTTCCTGAGTGATATAAAGCTTCAATATTTCCGGAGAAAGATTTTGAGGATAACCAAAATCCATGATTTCTGCAAATATATGTAAAATATTTGTCATAAACCCATTCAACTTCAAAATGATAAATGTTTTCTGTCATGAAAACACTATTTGGTCTTTTATTATCACACTAGGAATTCTCAAAAAATGATAAAAAAAATTTACTCAAAATTAATGACATTCATAATTATCAATAAAAAGTCATAGGTGTCTCTAATCAAAACATACAGCAAATAACCACTAAAGTCAAATACAAGTTTCCTAGATAGGAATCATCATCAATCACCATCTTCAAATCTGAGTCTTCTTTTTCATCTTGACTACTATTACAGCTGTTGATTTCAGTTTTGGAAATTGGAATCCCAAAAAGCCCTAATTTCTTTTTTAGAGGAATTTTAGGGAATCAACACATAGCACCACTATAGTGCTGCAACGACCACTATTCAGCCTGTAATTTAATTCACTATGACAGCCCCTATAGCAGGCAGGGATGCTCCACACCACTATTAACAGATAAATGTACAAAAAGTTATCAAGTAAGTGCCCTGTTGCAGTTTCACAAATGGATTCATAAGAAAGTAGCCACTTCTGTAACATTTCACTAGTAAAGCCCTAGTTCACTATATTGCCACTACGGCCACTACTCAGCCTGCTATTTGGTCTGCTTTGTCCGCTATGGAAGCCCCTATAGCAGGCAGGGTTGCTATGCTGCTATAGGGCGCTATTTGAAACACCTTTTTGTTTCAATCTATTGACAAAATAGATAGATGCACAATAGTTGTCAAGCATGTGTATAGTGGCAGTTTCACATATATACATTCATAAGAGACTAGCCAGTTCTGTAACAGTACACTAGTAAAGCCCTAGTCACAACCTGCTATAACTAAAGTGATTCCTTCATATTTGAAGAGCATATGGAATTACAAACTATTTGGTGAGATACTTTTACCCATGTGATATAGAGTTTACAAGAGGCACACAATTTGGAACAAAGAAAATGTATTCTTAGACCAGCTGCTAGCCTGAGGTTTTGTCACCATATATTAATGTATTAGTTTAGTAGAAGACTCCTCACGTTTTTTCCCAGTGAAAACCAGTTATTTTAATTAGGTAAAGGCTTGTGTATCTGTATCAAATATTTCCAGAAAACTCAAATCATATAATTATTTCGTAATATACATAGTAATAATGTTGTTGTATCTCCCTCTTCAGTCTAGGTACCCACTTGCACAGGTAATTCCTCACTTAAACAATGAACAAAAAAAAAAAAAACTTGTCAAGAAAATATTCTTCTATCGAATGACAGTTTTTCAAATTATAGGAAACTAAAACCCTTGCGCTAACTTTCAGCATAAGCATGCATACATACCAACATCTAAATTTAATGAATTTAACTCATTACCACATGATTACATACCATCTAGGAGTTCATAAATGAGAACAAAATTATTGCGAATTGCATCCTCGTCAAAGGCACCGCCAAAATATGATTTAAATAGTGCAACAGCCTGCAAGAGGACATAAATCAATCATGATCATTTACATAACCATAAGTTAATTATAATCAAATATCCAGAATTGGGAGACAGAAAGCAATGTACGAGCAACAAAGACAGCAGAGCCTGCATCTCAAAGTTGGGGAAGGATGTAATGACAAAGACCCACGTCATGAATCATACTTTAACTGATAAAATCCGAGATCACCAATAAGTGACGGAGGCAGCAAAAGTTAAATACCTCAACAACAAACTTGAAAGCGCAAGCTACATTGGCATTGCTGCTGACAACGATCACGATGTAAACATTGCTGATCCTCATGTAAAAGAAAGAGCAGCCACCAATCTGCCTCACAGGACAAGTACCAAGTTCTTTTGTTTGCAATATATGTGTCCGAAAAGCATCAACCATATTTCCCCTGTAACGCTACGAGTTAGAAGACACAATACTGCACCCCAAGAAATAAAAAATAAACGTCCGACAAGCACAAACACCAAGTTCCAGGGTTTCAAGAAGGGCATTCCAAACACAAAAGTTCCTTCATCCTTAACATTATTCACTAGTCCTAGCTGCATTACAAATTCGGCGCGTAGCAAAAATTTGTTCAAAATTGACACCGTTATTCACTACGTTACGCATAGGCTTCGATTCAAATATGCTTATTTGTTTTCCAACAAGCAATCAGGATGGACCTAACACTAAGAGACGAACACTTACGGTACGGCTTATTTTCCAGAATACGAGTTCGCTAAACACAAAAGATGATGAAAATTGAGTCCTAGAACGTTTGAGAGCGCAAACAACGGAAACGGTTCGCTTTGACTTCATTTCGTGGCCAAAGATATTGACTAAAAGATGAGTAAGAGAAAGAAAGAGAGAAGGAAAAGATGTTACCCAACATCGTCCCGATAGAGGCGATTGATGAGAACGTCGCCTCGGAGGTTCAAGAAGTATATAGCGGAAGCAGCCACCGGCATCTCCGATCCGGTGTACCAGCTTCCAAATTCTCCGACGAAGAGTTTAGAAGAAGAGGAACAGACAGATACAGTGGCTCCGCCGCAGATCTGAAGTTAAGAGGAGAAGCCGCTGCAGCACCAACAACTACGGTCGTCGACGGAGAGAAGAAAAGAAGCAGAGCAACAAATTGAAAAGAAAAGAAAAAAATGATGGGGAGTTACGAGTCAGCGTTGTTTCGCACACCAACGCGGCAACACCTCAACCCCTTTCAGCAATGCACTTTGATGCCACGTGTGTCTCCGGTGCGTTTATTTGTGAACTGATATTTTTTATTTAATTAAAAATAAAATACATCATGCTATAAACGTTGCTTGGATGTTCATGTTTCTCCTCGTGAAAAAAAAAAAAAAAAAAAAAATATATATATATATATATATATATATATATAGTAGACGATCACATAAAAAAATCATTATACAGTAAGATTTTAAAATTTTATGACAACTTATTTAATTAAAATGAATGCATCATGTAAAAAAAGTTTGTTCTTACTTAATTGTAAGACTTTTTTTTCTCAAATTTATTAGAATGACTAAATTTAAAAATATAATAGATCTGAGTAAGCTGTGTCAAACATGACTTTAATAGGACCCAAACAAGTTTGGTAATACCATTTTAATTTTATTTTTCTTTAAAGAAAATACCTAATTTTATATTATAATTATTATTATTATAATTAATAACAATATATTTTATATTATTAATAATATAATAATAATAATTAAACTTATATTATTATTAAAACTAGTTATAATAAGTAATGTTTTTTATTTTATTATTAATAATAGAATAATAATATACTTATAATTATATAAAATAAAAAATATTAATAAAAAATAATTATAATTCAATTTATTATTATTATTATTATTATTATTATTATTTTTAGTATTAATAATAATAAAATAATATTGATAATGAATGTTTATTATAATAACGTGACTTAATAATATAAACATTATTTTTCACGTTGTAATAAAATAATTTTTTTTAATTTGACCTCTACTTATTATTTTTATCATAATTTTTTATGTAAACATTTTTTTTAATTAATTTTTGTTTTATTGGATTCCTTATTTATAAGTTTCGATTTTCATATACAAAACAAGTAAATTTGGAATTCCAAGTTATTTTTTATAATTTATCGAAATTGTTGAGTAAATCGAGAGCACTAAACGGATTTGAAAATACTTAGTGAAATTTTGACAGAATAAAACATCTAACATTGTCCAAAATTGGTTGGATGATTTTGAAAACGCTGAACAGATTGCAAGCACTTTCAACATTTTTTAAATTCGTTGAGGAAATTTAAATCTGCTAGGCGAATTCATGACACTCAATACCATATTTCTAATGTTACAAATCAAATTAATTCTAAACATTACCCTCCTTATTATAAATCAAATCACTAATTTCAATATAAGAGAGATACATTCAAACAAAAGATTATCTTTCTCAATCACATACAAATCAATTATATATTCACATTCAATACAATCATTATCAATCAACACATACATAATCACACAATCTAACTTCCTAAAACTTAAATAATGTGATTAAGTAACCTTCACAATCTAGATCTTCTAGCCTAGAGTATTATGAAAATTGGAGATTTATTAACTTCCCTTACCTTTCAGTTTCGGTGCTCTAAAACTTGAAAGCTCCAAATCCCTAAATTCTTAAGGAGTTAGATCCTGCTCACAAAAAATCCCAATTAATAAATCGAACTTACTACAATATTCCTAAATTAGTCAAGATCCATCTTTACCCCACCAAGGTCATATGCAAGACTTGAATGGTCACATGCAAACCTTAGCTCAAAAGTTGTAAAAATACTCTAAAATTGAAAAAAAAATACTTTATTTAAGATTATGATCGGATGGAAATGTCCCCTTGTCGCTAGGAGCACAATGATAAACTTGGATATAGAAAAAGATAAGAATTGGGTAAAGAAGTTTTAGAGAGAAGTCAGAGGATATAGAATTTAGAGAGATGATGGTTCTTTAGAATTGAAGTTTGAAACATAAAAGTTTTCTATTTAAACTATTTTTATAAAAAAGGTAAAACTTCAAACTTTATTTTATTTAACCATTGTTTCTCTTTAAACTACTAAAGTCTTTGTCCTTACATTCCTCCCAACAAAAAAAAAATCGCCCTCAAAAATTTCACTTACCAAGAAAAGATAAGGATAAGTTTTCCTCATATCCTCCTCTAGTTCCCATATTGCATCACCTGAGTTAACATCCCACAATACTTTCACCATACTAATTTTCTTACCTATAAGTTGCTTGATCTAGTGATCAATGATCTTAACCGGTATGGCTTCACAACATAAGTCCTCTCTAACATGTATTACATTTGCTTCCAACACATGGCTAGAATAAAAAACATACTTCTTTAACTGTGATACATGGAAGACATTATGCAGATTGACTAGTTGAGGAGGCAAAACAACTTCATAAGCTACTAGGCTAATTCTTCTAAGAATCTGGTATAGTTTAATAAACTTAGGAGAAAGTTTATTGGATCTGATGACTCTCCTTATACCTGTAGTGGGTGTCACTCTCAGAAATACATAATCTCAAACATCAAACTCTAAAGATTGTCTTCTCTGGTCTGCATATCACTTTTGTCTACTTTATGAATCTTTCATCCTCTTTTGTATTTGTCGAACCTTGTTAGTCGTTTGCTGAAGCAACATAGGCCCTGTCAACACAGCTTCCCCATCCTGATACTAATAAAGAGGGGTCCTACACTTCCTCGAATATAATGTTTCATAAGACATCATTCCAATGCTAGTATGAAAGCTATTATTGTAGGTAAATTCCATTAGAGATAGTATCTTATCCCAACTTCCTAAGTGATCCAAAACACAAGTCCTTAACAGATCTTCCAAGGATTGGATCGTCTTCTTAGAATGACCATCTGTTTGAGGGTGATATGCAGTGTTGAGTCTCAGCCTAGTCCCTAGTGCCTCTAACAAGGTTTGCCAAAACCTAGAGATGAACCTTGGATCTTTATCAAACACAATACTGGAAGGTACTTCATGTAGTCTTACGATCTCTCTTATATACAATTGGGCTAGCTTTTCCATGGAGATCTTCAAACTCATAGGTAAGAAATGTGCACTCTTAGTTAACCGGTCTACTATAACCCAAATAATATCATGCCCTCTCACTGATCATGGAAGATGGGTTACAAAATTCATTGTAACGCTATCCCACTTCCACTTAAGTATATCCAATTGTTGCAGCAATCCTCCTGGTATTTGATGTTCCACCTTAGCCTTCTAAGATGTTAAGCAAGATGAAACATATTGAGCCACCTCCCTCTTCATGTTAGGCCACAAAAATGAATCCTTCATCAGTCTCTAAAACAAAATCTTTAGTTTTCTCATTCCTTAATAACTCCATTGTTCGTCTTAGGTTAGGATCCATCAATTGCCTCTCTTTCACTCTCTCAAAGAAGTCATTAGTCATAATTAGCCCGTTACATCTAATTTTGTTAGAAAACAGTTTCATCCCTAAATTCAGATCCTTGAATTGTTCAATTAACTCTAGTTCCTTCACCATTAGGGTGGACATTTGTATTGTCTTCCTACTCAAGGCATCTGCGACCACATTCACCTTCCCAGTGTGGTACATCAGTTGGAAGTCATAGTCCTTCAGGAACTCCATCCACCTCCTCTGCCTCATATTCAACTCTATCTGGTTAAATAAGTACTTGAGACTCTTATGATCATTGAACACAAGAAGCTAAGCACCATAAAGATAATGTCTTTAGGTCTTCAACGCAAACACAACAACTGCTAACTCTAAGTCATTTGCTGGGTAATTTCTTTCCTGAGTCTTTAATTATCTGGAAGCATATGCCATCACCCTATTCTCTTGCATCAACACACATCCAAGCCTTTGTACAATGCATCAGAGTAAAACTCAAAAGGTTTCCCTGTGTCAGTAATCACTAAGGCTGATGAACTAGTTGACCTTTGCTTCAACTCCAATTTTTTTTTTTGCTCACATTTATCTATTCAAGCAAAAGGTTGATCCTTGCGGTTCAACTGTGTCAAGGATGTTACAATCTTGGAGAACCTCTCAATAAACCTTATGTAATAGCTAGTTAATCCCACAAAACTCCTTATCTTAGTAACAGTCTTAGGGTGCTTCCACTGAAGTATTGTCTTCACTTTAGTTGTATCCACAGATATTCCCTGTGTTGATATGACAATGCCCCAAGAATTATACTTTAACCAGTCAAAACTCACACTTGGACAACTTTGCATACAATTGTTTCTCCCTTAAAATACCTAACATGTCCCTCATGAACCTCATGAGTCTTTAAATAGATAAGAATGTCATCTATGAAGACCACAACAAACTTGTCTAAGAAGGGATGAAAATTTTTGTTCATGTAATCCATGAGCAAGGTTAGGTCGTTTGTCACTCGAAATGACATCATTACATATTCATAATGGGCATAATGAGATTTCAAGGTTATCTTCTTAACATCTTTAGCCTTACCAAGATTTGATGACATCCCGACCTCAAGTCTATCTTAGAGAACATTGTTGCTCTATGTAACTGGACCATCATATCATTAATTTTTTATAGTGGATACTTGTTCTTAATGGTAAACTTGTTCAACCACCAGTAATCCACACACAATCTAGATCCCTTATCCTTCTTCTTTACAAATAAAGCCAAAGCTCTCCATGACGATACACTAGGTCTAATAAATTATTCTTTAACAACTCCTCCACTTGCTTTTGCAATTCCACTAACTCAATTAGAGTCATTTTTATATGAAACCATTGACACTAATCTTGACCCTAGCACCATGTCAATAAAATACAATACTTTCCTCTCAAGAGGTAGTCTAGGTACTTCCTCCAAGAAAACATCAAGAAATTCTCTCACTATTAATACATCACTTTTTTTTTACTCCCACCATTAACCTCCAATATTAGAATAAAATCAACTTGCTCTTTCCTTCATCTCATTTCATGTTTGTTATGCGAACAACAACTCCTTCCAATGGATCTAGAAACACAATTCTCTACTAGCCACAACCTATGAGTACTTTACGCCTAAGACCCCACCTAAGTTCTAAAGAGATAGGCAAATCAAGTTGATCTTGAATCTACATCATTCTATTATCATACGACATCCTACAAAAACCAAGGATATTGACATCAATCTAAATGATGTTGTCAATACTAACAATTCTAACAAAAACTCCATCACTATAAAAACTACCATTTTCCATGCACATTCTTGACATAAAAGAGTGTCTCACTCTAGAATTACATAACACTTATAAACTTGTATTAGATATGAAACATAATCTTTACATCAAACTATAGAGAATTGACACTTTAAGGGAGGAATAAATCATTGACGAAGTCCTAAGTGTGCACCCTCACAACTCTATCAGGATTCATTTCTCTTTTAAAATGTTAATTTTAGGCAACTTAGCCAAACAAGTCAATGACTCATCTAGATAAAAGAAAATAATAAAATAAAGGGTTTATGTGTCATCCTAGATAACATAAGAATACACGTTAATAAAGAAAATATAGAAACAATGTAACTTACATTTTTAAAAGATCACAAAAAAACTAATAACTACAAAAACAAGGTCAACTATAAAACCAAAGCATAGTAAAGCCACTCCCCTCAGATCAACCTAGGACATGACATGCTCTGATACCATTAATTGTAACAACCTAAAAACTATACATACATATATATAATTGAGATGCATAGAGTAACTCAAAATATAAATTCCCTCTGCATAGGGAAATATATACATACATATATATCACTTCAAAAGTAAATAAAATATAATATATACTACGCTTAGCTCCAGACTTACTCCTGTTGAGGTTTATCACGTGTAAAATTTGCTCTCATCTAAACATACGATCATCACAGTTAAAAATGTAAATCATTATGTAGTTTTCTTATGTTCCTCATTTATTCCATAAAACTACTCTACAAGATCTTTAGATTCATGATTATCACATAATAACATAAATTATAATAAGGAGACTAACCTTGTTCCATAAGAGATATCAAATGAGAATGTGTTCTTCAATGTATTTGTTCTCTAACCTCCTTTTCCCAATCTATCTCTTTGTTTTTCTTTCTCTTGTCACATTTTTTTTATGGTTTACTGTGAAAAAAACCTTATGGCTAGAGACAAAATCCTAATCCCCTTTATTAACCAACGTCCATCAAATTGGTTACCGTAAGTTTTTATTTTATTTTATCTTTATTTTATTCTGACTTTCCATAATAATCAATAGGTCCTTATATTTTATTAAATCACATTTTGGCCCATCATTATATTTCACATAAGTCACATAATAAAATAAATTAATTAAATTAATTTTAACATTTTCCCACTTGACTCATGTGATGTTATACAATTTCGTGATTTAATACTTAAGTCATAATGCGCATTAAATGACCTTACATAAATTGGTTATATTATTATTCATAATTAAAGATACAAATATAACAATAGTCATAGTAGTTACATGTCATTCAATTGACATATTCCCTTCTATGTACTACTATATTATCTCTTTCTCCTTAATATGACTTTATAATGAAAAATTCATAATGGGTTCAAACATAATATCATTTTCAATAATAATAACATAATTTGTTTTCTTCATCATAATTTGCATGCATATAAATAAAGAAGAAAACATAAATTTCAAAAAATTATACATTAAAGATCTTAGAGTGTCACATAAACATTAATAATAACATTCACATTCAACATTCACTAGTAAACATAATGTTCATATTTACTATATGGCCAACAAACAATTTGGGTGGTAATCCTTTTGTTAAAGGATCAACAAACATAAGATTAGTACTAATATGTTCTATTGACACTCTTCGTTTCTGAATTTCTTCTTTAACGACAAAGTATCTTAATTTCATATGTTTAACGCCTTTGGAATACTTGTCGTCGTTAGAAAAAAATACTGGTACGAAATTATCACAATAAACTTGTAGCAACTTGGTAATGTTGTCGATTATTCCAAATCCTAAAATAAAATTTCACAACCAATTAGCCTGAATTGTGACCTCTAAACATGCCATAAATTTAGCTTCCATTGTGGATGCAACAATGATGGTCTACTTTGCACTTTTTCACAAAATTGCTCCTTTGGCTAAAAGATACACATAACCAAATGTAAACTTTCATGTATCCATACAACTAGAAAAATCTGAATCTGTATATCCAATTACCTTAAGGTGATCAGATTTTCTATAAGTAAACATGTGATTCTTTATTTCTTGTAAGTATCTTAAGATTTTCTATGCAGTTTTCTAATGATTAAGTCCAGGATTACTTTGGTATCTATCCAACATACCAAATGCAAAACCAATATCTGGCCTTGTACATATTTTAACATATATCAAACTCCCAACAACAAATGCATAAGGGATATTTTCTATCAATTTTCGTTCCAAGTCAATCTTTGGACATCACATGAGACTAAATTTGTCTCCTTTCTATATTGGAACAGGAGATGTTAAACATTTATCCATTTTGAATCTCTTTAAAACTTTATTAATATATGTTTTCTGAGACAAACTTAACCGTCCTTGTGATCTATCACGAAATATTTATATTCCTATCACATAGTATGTCTCACCCATATCTTTCACTTCAAAGTTGTTAGAGAGAAATTTCTTAGTCTCACTTAATAAACCAAGATCATTAGTCGCAAGCAAGATATCATCAACATACAAAATCAAAAATATAAACTTGCTCCCACTGATCTTCAAATATATACACCGATCAACAATGTTTTTTCTTAAATCCAAATGAAAGAATAATATCATTAAACTTAAGATACCATTGTCAAGACGCTTGTTTAAATTTATATATTGATTTCTTAAGTTTACACACCATGTGTTCAGTTCCTTCTTTAATGAACCCCACCGATTGGTCCATATAAGCATCCTTCTCTAAATTTTCATTCAGAAAGACAGTTTTAACATTCATTTAATACAACTCAAAATCATAATGAGTTACTAATGTCATGATAATTTTAAAAGAATCTTTCTTAGAAACAGGTGAAAATATTTTCTTATAATCAATGTCATATTTCTGAGTAAAACCTTTGACAACAAGTCAGACCTTGTAACGTTCGATATTATCATTAGTCTTAAAGACCCATTTACACTCAACACTTTTGCATCATTTTGGCAATTCCAAAATATCTCATATACCATTATATGGCATTGATTTAAGCTCATCTTTCATAACATCTAACCATTTATCAGAATTATCACAATTAATGGCTTCTGAAAATGAAACTAGGTCATTATTAATACTTAAGCCATTTTCTAACTCTTGTAAATAAACCACATAATTATTCGAAATAACAGACTTTCTTTCTATGTGAGATCTTCTTAATATTATTTTTTATAGTTGTTCTATTATCGGCTCATTGTTAATCTTTGGATCATTAATTTGTTATTCTTTTTTACTGTCATGTCGTTCTACAACATGTAGAACAACAACTCTTGAAGAAGATGTACTAGTTGCAAAAACTTGTACTCTAACTTGTTGGCAAAATTTGGGTCATGTATATATATGATACATAATTTAAATGTGTTAGAGTCATTATTTATTAAGACAAATAATAAAGTGATCTGACTAAATTAAAGTTTTGGCTAAAAACATATGTCATGAAAATAAAATTTTGTAGGGACCATAGAGTAATTTCTAATTTGATGAGGGGGCAAATTGGAAATACTAAAACTTAAGTAATTAACCTAATTCTGGTTATTTTAAGGGGTCATGGTCCCTTTCTGGGAGCACACACACAGAACGTAAGTCTCAGTCCTGTTTCTTTCTTTCTATCCCTATCAAGAGAGAAAATCAAGAGGGAAATTCAAGTGCTCTTCAGGTGGAAGATCATAAGATCAAAATAGTGTTCTACAAATACAGATATCATCATTATGGCTAATTCAGGCACGCTTTCGCATTCAGTTTACAACATGTTTATCAGTATGGGATTATATATATGTTTGATCATTAAAATCAGAATCAGGATCATAACAGTAAATTACTGACAATTGGTATTAGAGTCGCCCATATTTGATTCATGTTTTTGTTTTTGGAAATTACATTTAACAAAATTAAGATTCTGTTTAATTAAGATTCTGTTCAACTAAGAACCCTAGGTGGAGAATCATCTCTAATTTTTGTAAACCCTAAATTCAAATTTGGGGGTAAATTCCCAATTTTAAACCTAATTTCGAATTTGGGGGTAAAATCCTCAATTTGCTCCTGGTCGCTGATCACAAGCCTGAAAAAAGTGACAAGAAAAAAGGAAAAATAAAAATAATGAAGGGAAGCAAGAGGTGGATCCAAGTCGTGACGACATGGGTTCGGCGACAACCACCCAAGATGAAGGTCTTCCTCTAACAGTCTTTATGGGTTCGCAGAGGGCAAGAAATGCAGAGGGCAAGAAATGCAGAGTCAACTTACTTTAGTCATGTTCCATGGAGTTAAGTAGGTCATTTTTTGAATAGTAAGTGAAAAAGTTTAAATTTTAATCCAATCCCTGGATCTGATCCGTGAGTAATGAAAATCAAGCATGTAAGTAGGAAATAGAGGTTAGGAGACAACAGAGTTTAGTACTGTGTTGTGTCGTTGGGATCTGCAACACAAACGAACGAGAGAAGATGAGGATGAGGGTTTCAGTTGTTTTAAGTGTTGTGTTGGTGATCTAGTTTTACGGTGGTGAAGCTGCGACATTTTCAGTTGATGGAAAGGTTTTGATTTTGGACGAGTCCAACATCGACTCGACCATAGCCACCTTCGATCACATCTTGGTTGACTTTTACGCTCCCTAGTGTGGCCACTACAAGTGTCTAGCTCCCAAGATTGATAATTTAGATATTGAAGCGCGGGGCCCATGCCTGCAAGGGCTTATAGATGATGTTGAATTTGGGAGTTGAGATTAGACTGATGGAGAAGCTTTTGGAAGTGGACCCACTGACACAATGATGACCATAGGAAATGCCCCTGGCCCTTCCCGAGTAATTGTTTTACGAATTGAAGTGGTGGTCTCCGTGCCATTATAATTTTTTTTAAATAAATAATCAAATTTTGGTTTTGTTATATAATATTCAAATTTTTTGGTAGTTTAATATTTTTTGTGAGCAAATTGAGTCAAGAAGTTATCAAAGTAACATCTCTTGAATTGGGTAGTTCGTGAAAATATTGAATATTAGTGTTTGTGTATATTCATGCGAGTATTAGTCGGCCCAAATGAAGATTAATATTTGACCGAATTGCATATACACTTGTAATGATAAACATGTGATAATTATAAGGATTTGCTTTATCGATGATAAATCAATCCAAAGACTGGTTTGTTGTTGGACGTGCTTTATTGTCAGTGTTTGATTATTACAACAAGATACCTCTAGCAATTAATATTATTGTCCAAAGACTTGATATTGATGGTGCATTGGGTGTCTTGAGATGGGTAAAACTATTATTTGAATACTTATAATTATTTATTTTTTATAATGTGAGTATAATTAATTTATTTCTCTTGTTCTTAATTCAGCTTACAATTGTTTCTGTATTCGCCAATTTAAATTATGTTCCGACCCTCAAAAGTATGTTTCTTATTTTGGTCTGTTCTAAAGTCAATTTAGCGTTGTCGCCGCCTCCCAAAAAGGGGCGCGGTCGGAGCGACGCGATGGTTATTTCGACCCTCTTGATTTTCGCGTTTTTTATTGGTGGTTACAACGTCTTTAGGTTGTCCGATAACCGGGCTTACCTAAGGGCGAGGTTTTCGAAAAGTGTCTTTGGGTTGTCCGATAACCGGGCTAACCCAAGGACTTATTTATTTTGGGTTCTATGGAGTCGCCACCGATGTTTTTACCGGAAACATCGGAAAAGGGGTTTTAAAAGGCGTTGGTTTTCGAAAACCAACTTTGGTCATTAGAACCATAGTTGGGTAAGGGAGTTGGTTACGTGTAAAGGGAGTATTAGTCCCTTTACGACGCCCCTTTCGGGTTCCCTATGACAGGCCGGCTTATTTTATTGATAAACTAGAAAAATACACTTTCGCCCTTTTTATTCTGCAGAATTTAAAAGTATGACTACATGGTCCTAATATCTATTGCATAATTTAAGATAAAAATGGTAAAGGTGAAGAGAGAGAATTTGAACCTCCGAAGCACGCTTTTTATATTAACTCTCTAAAAAATAGGGTGCTTTATGGCAACCCTTCACTCTACAAGACGTCGGAAAACCTCTCGAACGCCGAAAATCACTCTTGAAAGCACTCAGAAGCTCCGGAAATGCGTCGGAGGGATTCTAGAGAGAAGTTTTTAGAGAGAAGGGAGAGCTATGCAGCTGTGGTGTGTGGAAATGAGGGGGGGAGAGCCCCTATTTATAGGTTTTCGCGCTGTCAGGTGGCGAGACCGCCGGTCTCGTCTGACAGGGTCGAGACCGTCGTCTCGTCCAACGAGACCGCCGTCTCGACCTGTCAAAATGGCGAGACCGCCGTCTGGGTGAATGAGACCGCCGTCTGGGTGAACGAGACCGCCGTCTCGTCCTTCGTAGGTGGCGAGACCGCCGTCTCGTTAAGCGAGACGGCGGTCTCGCCTCCTACGTGAGGCGAGCCGGCGGTCTGGGTTATCCAGAAGGCGGTCTCGTCCCTTCGAGGCGAGAAAACTTATTTTTTGGTACAGAAACTCCCTCCTATCCTAGTATGGGGCCTAATAGTCTCTCCTAATGGCTTATTAGGCTTGTCCATCTTCAAATAGGAGGTCTTCTGGTCTTTATTTGGAGGCCAGACAAGATTTGGGGTCTACAAGCGTCAATACCTAATAACACTTAGTGGTTAGACTCAGGTGCAACTACTAACATCAGTGTTTTTATGAAGGGTTGCCTAAGCTACCGGAAGCCAATTGATTCTGAAAGATGGATATATGTTGGAGATGGCAAATCGGTAGAGGTGGAAGCTATAGGGCATTTTAAATTGTTATTGAGTACTGATTTTTATTTGGATTTGAAAGACACTTTTGTTGTGCCGTCATTTACACGAAATTTGGTATCAGTTTCTTATTTCGACAAATTAGGTTATTTGTGTTCATTTGGAAACAATAAGTTCAGTTTGTCTTTTAATTCAAATATTGTTGGAACTGGTTCACTTTTGCCTTATGATAATCTGTATTTACTTGATAATGTGACCACCTATAATGAAACCCTTAATACAGAATCACGGGGTACTAAACGTAAAATTGATGATACTCACTCAGGAGCATTATGACACAGGCGCTTAGGTCACATCTCTAAAAATAGAGTTGAATGACTTGTGTTAAATGGAATCTTAGAGTCCATTGACTTCACAAACTTTGATGTTTGTGTTGAATGCATTAAGGGCAAACAGACCAGAGTGAAGAGATTAGTTGCATATAGAGTTACAGACGTCTTAGAGTTAATACATACGGACATTTGTGGGTCATTTCCTACACCTTCATGGAATGGTCAACAATACTTTATATCATTCATAGACGATTACTCACGATATGCATACTTATTTCTTATACATGAAAAATCACAATCTCTGGACGTATTCAAAATATTTAAAGTTGAAGTTGAAAATCAACTCAACAAAAGAATTAAGTCTGTCAGGTCTGATCGTGGTGGTGAGTACTATGACAGATATGACGAGTCAGGTGAACAACGTCCAGGACCTTTTGTCAGGTACCTAGAGGAGTGTGGAATAGTCCCACAGTATACCATGCCGGGATCACCTAGTATGAATGGTGTAGCTGAAAGACGAAACCGGACTCTTAAAGATATGGTCAGGAGTATGATTTGTCATTCCACCTTATCGGAGTCACTCTGGGGAGAGGCGCTAAAGATGACAATTTATATTCTAAACAGAGTACCAACTAAAGCAGCTACCAAAACACATTATGAGCTTTGGACTAGGCGACAACCTAGTCTGAAGCATTTCCATGTGTGGGGATGTCCAGCTGAGGCAAGGCCTTATAAGCCAAATGAAAAGAAATTGGATTCCCGAACAGTAAGTAGTTATTTTATTGGTTATGCTGAAATATCCAGGGGATATAAATTTTATGATCCCACATTAAAGACAATTTTTGAGACGAGAACTGCTACGTTCTTTGAGGATATTGAGTTTGGGGGGAAGAATAAAATCAGGAAATTTGTCTTGGAGGAAGAATCGGTAACAATTCCAGAACCGATTCAAATAGTTACTTTTGATAAAGTAAGTTCGGAACCTTCACAAGACATTATTAATGAACCCCTTACTCAAGATGATTTGGTTGTTCATGAAGAACAAACTCAAGATCCTCAAGAACCTGTGCATCATGAACCAATAACTTTGCGGAGAACAACTAGAGAAAGAAGAAGTGCTATTTCGGATTATTACATGGTATTTCTTCAGGAACATGAGGAAAACAATGGTATGATGGAAGATGACCCAGTTAACTTCCGTCAAGTCATGCAAGGTTCTAACTCTGAAAAGTGGATTGAAGCAATGAAGGAGGAGTATAAGTCCATGCAAGACAACAAGGTTTGGGAACTTGTCCCATTACCAGAAGGTATGAGACCCATTGGTTGCAAGTGGATATTTAAGACCAAACGAGATTCTAAAGATAATGTGGAAAGGTATAAGGCTCGTCTGGTAGCTAAGGGTTATACCCAAAAGGAAGGGATTGACTTTAAAGAGACTTTCTCTTCAGTTTCATCGAAAGACTCTTTTAGGACAATCATGGCTCTTGTAGCACATTATGATTTGAAGCTTCATCAAATGGATGTCAAGACGGCGTTTCTTAATGGCAACATTGATGAGAAGATTTATACGGTACAACTAGAAAATTTTGTGCAGGGAGATTCAAAGAGTATGGTTTGCAAACTAACAAAATCCATTTATGGACTAAAACAAGCATCTCGTCAATGATACTATAAATTTCATCAAGTAATTCTCTCATTTGGCTTCGAGATGAATATTGTTGATGATTGTGTATATCACAAGTTTAAGGGGAGTAAGTATATTTTTCTGATCTTGTATGTTAATGACATTCTACTTGCCACTAATGATATAGGCATATTGCACGAAACCAAGAAATTTTTATCAAAGAATTTCGAAATGAAAGATCTTGGTGATGCATCTTTTGTATTAGGAATTCAGATACACCAAGATCGATGTCGGGGTATTTTAGGATTATCACAAAGGAGCTATATCGAAAATATTCTTAAAAGGTTTGACATGCATGAATGTAAATCCGGGGAAACTCCAGTTGCTAAGGGTGACAAGATTAGTCTCAATCAGTGCCCAAAGAGGAATTTGGAAATTGAGGAAATGCAAAAGATTCCCTATGCATCAGCTGTAGGGAGTTTGATGTATGCCCAAGTATGTACGCGTCCAGACATAACATACATAGTTGGGGTTCTAGGCAGATATTTAAGCAATCCAGGAATGGACCATTGGAAAACAGCAAAAAGGGTCATGAGATATTTAAAGAGAACAAAAGATTACATGCTCACATACAAGAGGTCAGACCAGTTGGAGATCGCTGGGTTTTCTGACTCCAACTTTGCAGGATGTCAATATAGTTTAAAATCCACTTCAGGTTACATTTTCATGTTAGCAGGTGGTGCAGTTTCTTGGCGCAGTGTCAAGCAAACCCTTACAGCTTCATCCACTATGACAGCAAAATTTGTAGCATGCTATGAGGTGTCGAATCATGGAATATGGCTGAGAAATTTTGTCACAGGGCTGCAAATTGTGAAAGGCATTGAAAGACCACTTAAGTTATATTGTGACAACAAATTAGCTGTATTGTATTCCAACAACAAC